AACCGCAGTGCAAAAAAGACTGCAGAGAAATTAACATAAAAATAAAATGCATCTATTTAGGTCACAACGGCGCAAATGGGTTCACGCGTTTGACAACGTCACTGCCATTATTTGGGTAGCCTCTCTGGCTGATTACGACCTGACATTACAGGAAGACCAGAAACGACCCACAAACAGAATGAAGGAGAGTCTAACTCTGTTCGAAAGCACAATCCACATGCCAATATTCAGGAGCAAAAACATCGTCTTATTTCTGAACAAGACAGATTTGTTCAAGAAGAAAATCAAGACATCGCCGATATCAGACCATTTTAGGTACACAATTCCAGATCTATTTTTATCACTTTTACTAAAGGTTGAGACAATTTAATTGAAGATTTATCTACTGAAGATTTATCTCGAAAACTATCATTACTTAATTGAAGCAGACTTATTTTAAGACTATTCGTGAATTTAGTGCTAAATTACGTTTTTTTTAAATAAGATACTGCTGCTCTATATTCTAAGTTGTTTGCATGGATGAAACTGTTACTTCATTACAAACTCCAAAATAGAGTCGATTTCGAATCGTTTACTTTGAGTTCAAAATTTCCTCCAAGCCATGAAAAAATCTATTAAAAAATTTTAAACAAGCTTTTTTGGGCACTCAGAGACGGATTTAGACGTCCGCCCCCCTCAGGGATTCGACCCGCTCACCAATCAAAGGGTTCCCCCCTTTGGCATTCTCTTATGACACCCCTTTTCGACCGACAAACCTAAAGTTGAAGTGCAATTTTTTGGTTAAAATTGGTTCAAAAAAAGTATCTAAAATTGCTTTTTTGGCCTGTTTCTTCAAAAAACTGCCCGCGGGGCACAAATTATGGTCAAATTAAGGCCTTCATAGTGTATGTTCTGGCAGTGCTCGGATAATCAGCTTGGTCGACCTAAAAAAAAGTTCGACACGATTTTTTTTTAAAAAAACCCGCACTCGAGAAAATCTTAAATTCACCCCTGGGTGCACTTTCCTTCAAATTAATATTAATTGCCTTCCCCCTCTCGAGAAAATCCAAGATCTGCCACTGATTTGTATCATTTTGCTTTTATTTCAGCTCTTACAGTGGCGGTAGTGATTTTGACGCAGGCTGCCAATTCTTCTGCAACCAATTCCTGTCCAAAAATCAGAATGAACGAAGGAGGATATTCTATCATTTCACATGCGCAACAGATACCCAAGCGCTGACTCATTTGATTAATTCGGCCGTCAACACTATTATGGACGATGTTTTATATAAAGCAGGACTCGCGTAACTTTATTGAGACTCAATTTTAAAAATATGTATAAATATTTTATTCGCATAACATAAATTATTATTATTATTTAATTTTTAGTCCTCGAATCGCTCATAATCGGATTACATTGCAAAAAGTAGAAAAATAACGAATGAAAAATGTTTCAGGGCTATTTTTTCACAGTTTTATCCATTTCGAGAGGCACTGAGCATAGTGGCAAAAGATTTTTGCGTTGAGATTGCCACATTATGTAACCTACGTAAACTGTCGGAAAGTTATTGATTATACTAACGAAAACGGGCAATTCTGAGACAGGTTTTAAATAGCCTTCGATAGATTCTCTGCGATTCGTAGGAACTGAAAATATCTGATCCTGGAAAAAAAAACGGTTTAAAATAATAATTTGGAGTTCACTAACCAGTGACAAGTTCGGTCTTCATCAACTGAATCATTGTATGCAGTTTACAATGAACTCTTGAAATCTTTCGCTAACTGCCAAACAAGAAAACGGTCGCAAACTCAATTTAACAATGAATTCGAATGTAAATACAATGTAAATAGTAATTCAAAAAGTGCGAAAGACATCATTATCGAAGCATAAATATTTATTCAAAATATCGATTTCTCATAGTTCATGCAATATCACCACGCGCATTTTCCGTATTTACTAATTAAAAACTGATTAAAAACATATTTTTAAGCATTTCGATCTTTTATTTACCGAATTTTTGGTGTTTTCAGAATTTTTTTAGAATTAATTTATTTTTGCACAGATTCAAAGAATGATACCAATGATTAGATGGACACAGGGGGTGGATCCAGGATTTTGTCGAGGGGGGGGGGCGGTTTTTTCAATTAAATTTAAAAATTTTGTGTACCTTTTTCTTTTAGGTCGACCAATTTGATTTTCTGAGCTTTAACAATTCGCTGTAAAGACCTTTTAGATCATATTTTGTGCGCCGCAGGCGAATTTTTGAAAAAATAGGCCAAAAAAGGCGCCTTGAGTCACATTTTGGATATTTTTGACCAAAAAAATTGTGGTTTTTTTGACGCGCGCTCCCCCCTTAAAATAAAAATATGTTGGCGCCTTAGGCCCATTTAGAAAAATTATAGGGTCAGTAAGCCAAAAATGGACATCTCAAAATAGTACAAAGGGGGACCCGCTGGTGGATGGACAGCTGGTGGATCCGCTGGTGGATGGACAGAAAAAACCAGTTACAGTGCAGAAATCGCTCACGATTTAGCGTGGCTCTAATCAATATAGCTTCCAAAGGTTTGGAAAAGTGTTTATTTAATGTTCTCTACGAAAAGTTCTCTTATTCCCGACTTTCAGCATGATTTAGGACGTGGTCGATCAATTCTAACACAGCTTCTAGACTATGTTGATTCCTTATACAAAGCACCGATACAAGGGACCTGGTAGAGCGTCTAACTTGCTTTTAGCGAGGCTTTTGATAAAATCGACCATGGAATTCTTCTGAATAAGTTCACGCTCTTGGTATTCGTCGCCGCTATTCCAACTCTAGTAGAAGCAGCATATCCGTATCTGTTGCCCAAAAGGGTCTGCTCCGTTATAAGGCCAAAAATGAAAAATCGCCCATCAAAATTGTTATCAACCAAAATAACTCAACCAAATGGATTTTTTAAGCTCTCCCAACAACTTTATTGACCCTAATTTGACCAAAATTCCTGGGCCGCAGGCAAATTTTTGAAAAAGGCCAAAAAAGCGTTTTTAGGCACTTTTTGGAAATTTTCGACAAAAAAATCGCGTTTTTTCGGCGCGCGCTCCCCCTCAAAATCAGTATATATTGGCGCCCAAGTCGCCTTTAGAAAAATTTTAGGGTCCGTCAGCCAAAAATTGATCTCGGGGACCCGCTGGTGGATGGGTAGCTGGTGGATTGGCTGGTGGATGGACAGCTGGTGGATCCGCTGGTGGATGGACAGAAAAAAACCAGTTACAGTGCAGAAATCGCTCACGATTTAGCGTGGCTCTAATCAATATAGCTTCCAAAGGTTTGGAAAAGTGTTTGTTTAATGCTCTCTACGAAAGGTCCTCTTATTCCCGATTTTCAGCATGATTTAAGACGTGGTCGATCAATTCTAACACAGCTTCTAGACTATGTTGATTCCTTATACAAAGCACCGATACAAGGGACCTGGTAGAGCGTCTAACTTGCTTTTAGCGAGACTTTTGATAAAATCGACCATGGAATTCTTCTGAATAAGTTTCAAGCTCTTGGTATTCGTGACCGCTATCCCAACTCTAGTAGAAGCAGCATATCCGTATCTGTTGCCCAAAAAGAGTCTGCTCCGTTATAAGGCAAAAAATGAAAAATCGCCCATCAAAATTGTTATCAACCAAAATAACTAAACCAAATGGATTTTCTAAGCTCTCCCAAACAACTTTAACGACCCTAATTTGACCAAAATTCCTGGGCCGCAGGCCAATTTTTTGAAAAAGGCCAAAAAAGCGTTTTTAAGCACTTTTTGGAAATTTTCGACCAAAAAATCGCGTTTTTTCGGCGCGCGCTCCCCCTCAAAATCAGTATATATTGGCGCCCAAGTCGCCTTTAGAAAAATTTTAGGGTCCGTCAGCCAAAAATTGATCTCGGGGACCCGCTGGTGGATGGGTAGCTGGTGGATTGGCTGGTGGATGGACAGCTGGTGGATCCGCTGGTGGATGGACAGAAAAAACCAGTTACAGTGCAGAAATCGCTCACGATTTAGCGTGGCTCTAATCAATATAGCTTCCAAATGTTTGGAAAAGTGTTTGTTTAATGTTCTCTACGAAAAGTTCTCTTATTCCCGACTTTCAGCATGATTTAAGACGTGGTCGATCAATTCTAACACAGCTTCTAGACTATGTTGATTCCTTATAAAAAGCACCGATACAAGGGACCTGGTAGAGCGTCTAACTTGCTTTTAGCGAGGCTTTTGATAAAATCGACCATGGAATTCTTCTGAATAAGTTCACGCTCTTGGTATTCGTCGCCACTATTCCAACTCTAGTAGAAGCAGCATATCCGTATCTGTTGCCCAAAAGGGTCTGCTCCGTTATAAGGCCAAAAATGAAAAATCACCCATCAAAATTGTTATCAACCAAAATAACTCAACCAAATGGATTTTTTAAGCTCTCCCAAACAACTTTAACGATCCTAATTTGACCAAAGTTTCTGGGCCGCAGGCAAATTTTTGAAAAAGGCCAAAAAAGCGTTTTTAGGCACTTTTTGGAAATTTTCGACTAAAAAATCGCTTTTTTTCGGCGCGCGCTCCCCCTCAAAATCAGTATATATTGGCGCCCAAGTCGCCCTTAGAAAAATTTTAGGGTCCGTCAGCCAAAAATTGATCTTGGGGACCCGCTGGTGGATGGGTAGCTGGTGGATTGGCTGGTGGATGGACAGCTGGTGGATCCGCTGGTGGATGGACAGAAAAAACCAGTTACAGTGCAGAAATCGCTCACGATTTAGCGTGGCTCTAATCAATATAGCTTCCAAAGGTTTGGAAAAGTGTTTGTTTAATGCTCTCTACGAAAGGTCCTCTTATTCCCGATTTTCAGCATGATTTAAGACGTGGTCGATCAATTCTAACACAGCTTCTAGACTATGTTGATTCCTTATACAAAGCACCGATACAAGGGACCTGGTAGAGCGTCTAACTTGCTTTTAGCGAGACTTTTGATAAAATCGACCATGGAATTCTTCTGAATAAGTTTCAAGCTCTTGGTATTCGTGACCGCTATCCCAACTCTAGTAGAAGCAGCATATCCGTATCTGTTGCCCAAAAAGGGTCTGCTCCGTTATAGGGCCAAAAATGAAAAATCGCCCATCAAAATTGTTATCAACCAAAAAACTCAACCAAATGGATTTTCTAAGCTCTCCCAAACAACTTTAACGACCCTAATTTGACCAAAATTTTTGGGCCGCAGGCAAATTTTTGAAAAAGTCCAAAAAAGCGTTTTCAGGCACTTTTTGGAAATATTCGACCAAAAAATCGCGGTTTTTTGGCGCGCGCTCCCCCTCAAAATTAGCATAGATTGGCGCCGAAGGCGTCTTTAGAAAAATTTTAAGGTCAGTCAGCCAAAAATTGATCTCTCAAAAAGTACAAAGCCCCCCCCCCCCCCCCTAAATCCGCCAATGAACAAAACTGCGCAAAACCCTGAATATTCCGACTGCCTGTTAAGGTCTATGGAAGTAATAACATGAAAAAATTATTAAAAGAAAATAAAATTTAAAAAAAGTTAAAAATTTGAGATTTTTGTGAAAATCATCCCCCAAAACGCCATATGAAGTGGTACAAAATGATAGATTTAAATAAATCTGCTTGTAACAAATCAATTATTGCAAATAAGCTTCTTTCAACCAATTTGGAACGATTTCTATGACAGATTAAATCTCCGCTTACGCGTTAATTGTCCCAATGGGCCGAAATGACGATCTTTAAACCCAATAACTTAACAAAAAATAATCATAGTTGAAATATCTTTTCAAATTCAAGCTCAGCACAACAATTCCTTTTGAAAGATATAAATAAATTCCGTCAAAAATGGTTATAGAAAAAGTCAGGTATGAAAAAAAAACCCATCCCGAGCACAAAAATTCCGTTACTTTCGTATCGAAAGTCGGAACAAAAACAGAAACTTCGTAGATATTAAGGAGAACGACAATTGAAGAATAATATTTAACAGTCGGAAGAATAATATTCAACCATTTAAGTTGACCTCTAGCTTTCTGCAGTTACCGGAAACCAGAATGTGCAGTAAGTTTATTGTAGTTGAACCATATAGTTGCAGTCAAAATTGAACATTACATCGTATCCGTTTTCACGTCTACATCAGAACAATTAATTTTCGTCTAGCTGGAAATTGTATTAATCAAAATCCAATTTTGTCCAAAAACTAGTATCCTAACTTGAGAGCAAGCTAAGCTCCTCATTCTTCTGTTTCCACCGAAGAGCGCAATTTGCCCTCTATTTGAGAACAGTGCACTTTAAAAGAAATCACAAGTGAAACAGTCAGAATGATCGTGAACATATTCAAGACTATCCAAAAAAACTGCCAAAAGAGTGAAGCGCTGTCCAACTGCCATCAAAGGAAAACTTACACCTAGAATTGGATGCGACCTCAAAAACATTCACGATCTTCAACAGTTCGTTCAATTTCAAATCACTGTTGATGCTGGAGACTGCATTAACATAAAGATCAACTTGCATATCGGAGAACCTATAATATTTGCTATAGCCAATGAAAAAAAAATTACTCTTACACTCAGCAGCATGTCCACCCGCCATCAAAGGAAAACTTACACCTAGAAGTGGATGCGACCTCAAAAACATTCACGATCTTCAACAGTTAGTTCAATTTCAAATCACTGTTGATGCTGGAGACTGCATTAACATAAAGATCAACTTGCATATCGGAGAACCTATAATATTTGCTATAGCCAATGAAAAAAAATTACTCTTACACTCAGCAGCATGTGTAATTTTTCAAAATGATACAAAATTTTACTCTTTCGACTTTTGGAAGGGTTAACTGAAATAAGAGCTATAGTTTCTTTCTCTTCAGCCATTAGGGGCATTCGAAACCAAAAAAAAAGTTCTAGATTTTCAACACCCATTGAACACACATTTAAAACAAGAAACACGTGATATTATTTATTAACCAACCAATACACGTAATTTGAAACAAAGCCCAACCCCATATATGATACTTTTACATATAATCAACACGTTTGTTTAAGAGATAAATTTTGTACACTTCCACTCACAAATTTGGGTACATTTTTCAAAGAAAATCAACTATTCAGTACTGAGGAACCATTCATTATTGATGATATAACCTTAAAAAATTTAAAGATTTTGCCATTAAAAAACCAAAATTTTTCGAAGCAAGTAAAATGGTTCCAAGTGTCACAATTTGGAAGCAAATATATATATGAAAAAAGATAAATACTATTAGGGCATTTTCAACGTACAACAATGAAAAGATATGGTATAATAATCACAAAAACACTTTTTACCAGCTTTTTCTTCAACAATTTTGTTTATGAATTCGATCTAGTCAATCAATAACAATTTTAAACAAGTTACAAAACAAGTCCAGTTGTTTAATACAGTCGTTCAGTAATCCGCTGATTCAGGCCGTTTTGATGTTATTTTCACTAAGGAAATTTTTTCTATTCATGGCTTTGATGCTTCACAATGAATCTCGTTTGTTCTCTCCTTCGGTTTATTCCACCTTCTTTTCGTTATCCGCCAACTACACGCGAGTTGTTAACCCTGAAAGCACAAAAATTTGAAAGGTCAAGTCAAGGTAAGGTAATTATAGCTCACTAAAACTCTGAGTAGAAGCAACCAGCAGGCCTGTAGATAGTAGCATGTCTATTACATTACAGTATGTATTTTGTGAACATGATAATCATTCAAAAACTGATAATGTTATGCAATATATCAACAGATTACGTAATTCTGATGTAATTTCGACTTCAAGATAGGGCACTTGTAGAAATGCCGGATTGTTCAACAGCCGCCAGAAAAACCTTCACGAGTTATGATTAGAGAACTATATAATCGCATTGAAACCTAGTAATTTAAGCATAATCTACATTTGTCTTCAAAAAATGGAAAACAAACAAAAAATTTAAAAAAAATCGAAATCAAGTTTTGTTTATCAATTTTTTCATTGGATTAGCACAATTTTTTTTATCAAGTTGAAAGCTATTTTTTCCAGGAGCGCTGATTGAAGCCTAAAAGAAAAATTTTCATACACACAGGCTAAGCTGCGCTTCGGAAACACTTGCGAGAACACGAGAAAAACCAGCTCTATGAAGTTCAAAGAGAATTAGTAGAAGTAAGCCTCGAATTAGTAAAAATTCGGCTAGGTCTCGGATTCAATCTGCGACCAATGGCGACCTAGAGAATATGCTCCTCACTCAATAACCTCTAAGCCACGGACGCTTAATTAGTCAATCGCTTTACTCGCTAGACATTTGTCTAAAACTCAAAACTTTCAAACCGATTTTTCTCGACACTGGAACTATTGGAAAACTTTTTGGAAAACATTTGATGTTCGAAAATACGACTGAAAGTGCGTTTGTATGAATTACTCGACCCATTCCAATGATTATTTGTGGTACCTGATCTTGCGTGGAAAACAAAAAAATACAAAGATAGCCTGTTAGTTAGCAAGTGCAAGAAGCACAGAATTTTCCGACCATAGTCTTTAAAAAATACATTTATTTTCAAATAAGTGTCAGTTTTTCTGCTTGTGTGATAAAAGTATCTGAAAGATTTACTAGCGCATTTGACAGTCCAAGTAAAATAGGCAACTTGGACAAGAGTTTTTATAGAAAAATAAATGGGAAAACAAAAATCAATAAACAAAATTTTTGGCAGAAAATCTGATTCCCAAAATGGCACTAAAAACTGAAACGCTAGATAAAATTCTGTAAAAATTGAAACTTAATCATATCAACGAAATCTTTGTCGTTAAATTTTTGTCGGTTTTCCGCTCCATTCGACTTTTGAAAAAAACGCCAGTCCTTAGCCTGCCTGCATTATCACGGCCGGTTCTTTAGTTCGAATAGCAGAGTAACAAAAAGTTACCCGCTGGAAAAAACAAATTGCATTAGAATGATAATTTTTGCAATGAAAAATAAGCTTGATACAATCGAACAATAGTAACAAAAGATTGCGAAACTGACATGAAGAATCGCATTGAAAAAAGAAGGCTTTTACACAGAGGCAAAAAGTTGCACTTCGCATAAACAAGCAAAAATATGACCGATATGGCTACTGGGAAAAACTGAATTGAATGATGAAAACTTTAAGTCTACAAATTTTCTAAGTGACGCACGCCACATATGAGTCTACATAAATGCTAAATGACACTTGCCAATTATGACGCATTAGCAGTACCAGTCAATTTGAAAAAAAAATTACCAACTAACATGACTCAATTTATAGATCGGACGCATTTTAGTTGGTATACAAAAACTTCATTAAAAACATCGAACCCTGTCCAGATCCGAACCCCTTTATTTTGTTGCATGTCTCATTCCCTACCTCTACGCTACAGATCCATGATACCTTGAAGCTAAAATGCTATTTGTAATATAATAGTCTGTGTTAATATTCTTAGAATTGGCTGTACTTAATAGCTGGTTATTGATCAAAACGAACTCATTTTCACGCAACAATATTTGCGTCGCAACAATAATTGCGACTTAGGTAGGAAAAAAGAGATCATACTATAACACAAGCTTAGCTTGTGTAAAAAAACAAGGATAGCCGGTTACTGTGCAAATAGCACAAAATGTTCCGACCATTGTCTTAAAAAATACAAGTTTTTTTCACATTAGTGTAATTTTTCTTCTTGGGGTGATAAAAAGATCTGAATAAAAAAGTAGAACCTAGGTAAATTCGAAGGTCATGTTAAAATAATTAAAGTAAACAACAGTTTTTGAAAAAATAAATAGCTAGAAAAACAAAAAACATGAAAAATAAAAAAACTTGTATAACTTGCCATATTCCGATGATTATATGCGGTACTTGATTTTGAGTGGACAGCAAAAAAAAAACTAAAACACACCCAAATAAGAATTTCATCCCATTTTCAATTGTCGGAACAACAACACACCCGAAGACCAAGTTCCTCCTGTTTGCAATAGCCGGAACAAAAATATGGATTATCAATTTCACTAAAAAATTAAATATTATCTAAGGCTTCAGGTTCGTCTAAATGGACTACGCTGAAGCTCTTAGTTTATACTACTTCACACACATGCTAATTGCTATCCCCACTTAAACTCTCGTTAAAGAAAAGAACATCTGTAACAGCAGAAAAAGCAAGCTAACTTGTGCAATTCATATATCGTTTGATGGACAACTAACTTTCTGATCAGATTAGTCAGCAGCTTGAAGCATTTGCCTATCAAGAGTTCAAATCAAAATCAATTCAGATACGTTTTAGCTAATTTGATATCAATTTGGGAGTTTCAAACTTCAATTATCGCCATAATGAATTGCTGAAGTTAGCTTAGCGATAGAAAGCATCACAATAGTTTAACGACAGCGAGAATAAAAAGTTAAATGATACCAGTTAGGTTGCAAGGAACGCCCTTTTGCGGGACCCTGCATCTCTATATAAACAAAATAATATTACGCCAAGAAAACTGAAGATTAAGAAAAAGACCTTCAACTATCTTTAAATCTGAATCTTGAAATCTGGCGTCTTTTCTGTTAACGGCCTAAAATATCAAACAGTTAATTGAGCTTGTTTTCATTGAACACCCTTAGATTTCTTTCCGTTGATATTTATTTCAACCAATCAGATTCGAGCATCATCATCAAACTTTCAAAAAGGTGACCACTCGACTAGCATAAAGCTCGAATATCATAAAAGTTTGAAAGTATGAAAATGTATCGACTAGCATAATTTTGAAAGCTTTTTTTCTCAGAAATACAAAACAGGAAAAATCCTTTCAAATTGAAACTTGCACTTCTGAGAAATAGAAAAATAGAAATATCACATATCTTCAGATCAGTCATACCCCACCCGACCCAGGGGCAAATATAGAGAGGGACTAGAGTGTTCGGTTCTCTTCAAGGATCGACCCCTTCCGGCCTAGATGGCCCCTTTGGTACTAGTTTAAGAAAACCTTTTTTAAGAAGACATTTTAACGCCTATTTTGGCCTGTTTTTCCGATCATCCGCCCCTCCCCCTCTCGAGAAAATCCTAGATCCTCCCATGCCCTGACCTGCAATGGCTTGAACCGAATACTGATTGCCGCGCAAACTGTGAAATGCAGAGAAAAACTGTGATTTAGACATGTTTTTTGGTTTCTAGCTACAAAAATCACAGAAGATAAACCGTTAAATTGTTTCATGAGGTCCGTTTTTGTGTATAATAAATAAATAAATAAATAAATAAGTCTTAATTGAAATCAGTAAGTACAACTGATTAACAAATACATTTACAAATTGTAGTTTCTCATGGAAAATCAATTAGAATCCGAAATTTCATTCCGGTCAAATGGTTCGTAGCAATATCAGTGATTTGTATGCCAAGTTATAGAACCGTACTAATAGCGCTTATATTCCGAGACCTCTCAGAGATTTGTCCCAATAAACATGATTGGCAAATACATTTACAAATTGTAGTTTCTCAAGAACCTGTCAGGGAAATGCCGCATAAATTTTTCTTTCATCAGATAATTGCCGACTGGGTTTCCCGCTCTCAATTTTACTTCGCTATACTCTAATCGAGATGGAATTATACTTGAAAGAAAATGGTTGTCATCTCTCGATGTAATTCGGTAATGTTTTTCGTCCTCTTTCCTTGCTAAAATTTTTTTATTCTTTACAAAGTTTAGAAGAAACGTTTTGAGATAACACCAACCAAATTTGACAATATTTGAATTTTTGTTTCGATTTTTATGCTAGTCGATACGATTTTAATTTTTGAAACTTTCATTCTAGTCGATACACCGCCTTTCAATATGGCTGATAGAATACTTTTTGGGTCGTATAACAGAAAAGACTAGTGACCTGACGAAACCACTATTAGTCGGAATTAGTTTTCAAAATTAATACATGCTTGAGGTGGACATTCTACAGTAGGTCACTTAGAAAAGGGAGATATTGTAGGTTGATCGGCGACTAGTAACAAATAATTAGCATACGATTGCTCCACTTCGCTCACAGTTATCTCTTGTTTCCGTTTCTAGGACTCGAATTGGAAGCGTACTGACCTGGCAATGGCTAGTTTTTTGAGCAGTTTGTGTCCACAGAAGAAAGTTATTGACCCCAGCAATACCAGCCACTTCATAGTTTGGAACATATTCTGAAACAAAATTAGATTGATGGTCTTCTTATTTCAATGCTGTTAGTCTTTGATCTAATCAAAACGATATTTCATAGCAAAAATTGATCCAATCAAAACCAAGTGTATCGAGAACTGCAACATTCATGTGAACAGATTTAGCTGATAAAGCCAGGATAATACGCATGGGCGGATCTAGGATTTTCTCGAGGGGGGCGGATTTTCAAAAAAAAATTTTTTTTTAGGTCGACCAAGTCCCTGTTTTGACCAAATTTTCATCGCCGCAGGCAAAATTTTGAAAAAACAGACCAAAAAAGCGTTTTTAGGCACTTTTTGGAAAATTTTGACCAAAAAATCGCGTTTTTTCGGCGCGCGTTCCCCCCTCAAAATTGGTGTATATTGGCGCCCAAGGCGCTTTTAGAAAAGATTTAGGGTCGGTCGGCCAAAAATGGATTTCTTAAAAAGTACCAAAGGGGGGGGTACCCTTTGGGTCGGCAGGGGGTCGAATCCCTGAAGGAGGGGGGGGGCGGTCCCCCTTTAAATCCGCCCCTGACAATACGCGCATGTCAAGTGCAGTTTATTTCTTGATCAGTGATTAGTTTTTGATCAATTTCTTAATGGAGATCACTTTGGTTAAATGGTTAAATTATATCGAGTTGCACCTTAAAACTACTAACCAGTTGTGCCCAGTAGCAATAGTAGAGTCCAAATATGGAAGCCAGTCCCAAGTGGAACCCAATGGTGGGCACATCCATCTCCATATTGGCCACATTAGCACCCATTTTTGACCAGATCAGTAGGAGGAACAGGAGAGGAAGCAGAGCCAGCACGGCGAATGCCTGGGAGAAGATGAGAGCCGGACGAGGATCAGGCTGTCGGAACATGTGCTGAAAAAATGAACAAAAACATCAACTGTGGAGAAATTATAAACAATTTCGCTCCGCATAAAGATCATTAAAAAAAGTTTCATTATTTTCATTGAGACCATCGCGTAATGTAATACTTAACCGGTTCTACCCATAGTGGATACGTTTTGAAAATTTCGTCTAGTCCATCCAATTTACTGATTCGATGATAATTACAGATAGTTGACAACACATTTCCAGAAGTAAATGAAAACCAAAAGATGCAAATACAAACCATCACTTTCGAAAAACACTTTCCCCAAAAATAGTTGCAAATTACCATCTTATCAGATTTAAACAAATAGCTGTCAAGAGGCTGCTCGGTAGCTATAAAATCCAACATCCAATCATGATTGCCCTTTTGGAAGTTACGAGTACTAGACTAACATGAATCTCTGGCTTGGGCTTGAACTCGTCCAGATAGGAGGCTGGCTGGTATGTCTTTCCCTCTGCGAACGCGAGAGTGATCTTGGCTAGCTGCCACATGAAGGAGTTGGAGGCCACTGCATCGCCCACTATCAAGTACATGTTGTAGTCGCCAGATAGTGACTTGAAGATGCTGTCACTCGCCTGCAGAAAAAAATCATGAGAAAAAATAGTTTAAAAATTAAGAATTTTTGTAAATAAAAAAGAGAAGTGTTCATTATTGCGGTTGATGAACTTTTCTAAGGTTAATTAAAGCAAGAGAATGATTTTTTCTCAAAATTATTAAATCAAGTAAGCTAAATATTCCAAATCCAATCCCATCTCATTTTCATTAGGTAACACAATACAAACATCCAGGTATCTAGATCCTTCTTCTTCTGACCTTGAGTTTCATTTCGAACTCGTACAGTCCTGCCGACTTTTCACAGACGAAGAACACCTCCTGGTCAGACTCGATGTGGACCATCCTCATGAACACCTGGTGGGGCTCGAAGTCCAGATTGGACAGTTTGTCTTTGATGGAGAAGGAAGCCACCACCTTCTGAGTGGAGTCAGCATACAGAGTCGATTTCAATGCATTCGGGTAAGACACACTGCAACAAAAATAACACTTACACAATTCCATTGTTCCAAATTCAAGAAACTTATTACCTTCTTTGGCGCATCCAAAATAGCCATAAGACAGTAGGAAAAGAGCCAATGAATGCAAGTAAACAAAAAAACATTGAAATGTTTTTTTTTTAAATATCCCAACTTTCGAATTTCAAAAAAATAGAAGCCTAGAGCTCTTTGAATTTCTACAGCAAATTATTATTAACACGTTTTCGATTAAATGCACCAATTTGAGAAAACTGGAAATTAATTGCTGGGAAATCTGAAACTTAAATTTCACTTTCGAAACTTAAAGTCGCTCACTTTTTCGTGACCTTTACACTTTAGCTGTTCGATAGTGGAGCTTGCCTTCCTTTAAACAAAGGAAATAAACAACTTGAAAAGAAATCAAAATTCAAACAGCGCAAAAGTAAATTCTAGCTTGACCAAATTTTTAGACTTTAAGTTAATCGACTCTTGAGAAAGGAAAGCTTGAAACAAATTGTAAGATTATTGCAAAAATATGGATTAATATTTTATCTAGACATGTCATCCTGTATTTAAATTTTCGTTTTAAAAGTCTTCTTAGTATATGCGAATAGATTCAAGTTTACTTATAAGTTTTGCCTGCAATGTGCCAAAAAAATGCTCTCACGGATTTTGCTTTCCGATGGTGGAAGTGGACTCGGAGTCGATCACTGCAATGTTCATGTTACTCGCAGTCACCTCAGTCAATACACGCAGACTCAACTGAAAAAAAAATCATCTTTCTGATGTTACTTTTGGAACATTTACAGTTAGTACTAGAATACCAAACTATTTTTAAACACCATCTGTCTCTAATGAAACTTCAATAACCTTTGCATTTCCAGGGGCCATTCCAACCAGTTTTGCCGATCCAGGTGCTGAGCTGGAGGACACCGATACCGTGAGGGTGTAGAATCCAGCGCCAGGCTTCAATTTCAACAGGTCCAATGTATACACAGACCTAAATTTTCTTTTCAAATGTTTGTTTTACCAAAAACAGAACAGAAAAACAGTTACTTAATTGTCAATCTCAATTTTCTCAATTCCTAATAGCAAACTTTGAACTGGGCTCCACAGTTTTTCAATCGATACCCTTCAGTTAAATATATCACACCTAAAGGCGAAGCGGAGCTTTGCACCACTTGCTAACACAACCATAAAAAAAGCATAAATCGAAAAAAAAAATGAAAAATGATGAAAATAACTAGGTGAACCAAATTACCGTCTCGATGAAAGATACCTAGCGCTCAGCTAAAGCTGGAGGTACGTGTTTGATACTTTTGAAGTTGTCATGCTGATGCAGGACGAAATGCGACATTGCCCAAAACATTAGTTGTTTCTCTACTAAAATGAGTAAAAGTTTGAGATTTTGGAATTTTTCCAAAGACGTGACCTATTACTGACAAAAAATTACGGAGTAGCAGCTTCTGCGGGAAAATTTCGCGCAACCGCGCTTTTTGATTGAAATTTTCATCTCAAATTTGATAAGGTAGTTTTTAAAAAAAAATTCAAAAAATTTCTAAAAACGGTCAAAGCTCAAAATGTTTTTTTTCCTAAATCTTTATTTTTTTCTGCTACAATGAGGTCAGTGCGTTTAAATTAGAGAATATTCCCAAACTCGTATTTCTCGGTTGAACACTTTTGCATTAATAGATTTTGACAAAAGTTTCCTCTCACTTGTCTGAGGGCGTGGTTGCCTTGAGCTGTTCCTTGCTGACGACGATGACCGAGTCCGAGTTCCTTTCCACCTGTTCTGCGGTCACTCCAGAGACGCCCTTCAACTCCGCCCCCAGCAGATTAGTCACTCTCACCTGCGAACAAAATCAACGCAATGGTAGACAATTTAGATCAATCAAACAGACAAAACAAAACTCCAATCTTTCGTTCCTATTGTGGGAGAAAATGACCTGTTTTTCTACTGCCTCTCAGTTTCTTTTGTGTATATGCAATGCAATGTGACCTGTATCGTCTAAATATGAATCTTCTGTTCGTTCAGGGATCCTAGACAATATCAAGTGAGATCTACGAGCAAACTAGGATATATTAGATAACTGACCCATCAAAACTGTTTTGAACGGTCATTTTTTTTTAAGTTAACCAGCCCGGAGGCCTAACCCAGAAGTTATTTAAGTTGACACGAGCGCATATATCCAGCGCCCATTAAGATATGACTTACCTTGCAAATTGCAGCGCACATGCCATTTGAACTGGCAATCAAATCTACAGGAGCGCCACAATTTTTCAAGAGTTAATAAGGGATGAAAACATAAGAAATTTTAGCACATAAAATTTTTCACTGAAAATGAGCACAAAATTGAAAAAAAAACAGCGCTTTAAAAGCGATTCTTATTCGCTCTTCACTCGATGTTCCGCTTCTTTCGATTTTTCACCACTATAAAATACGTCAAACTTTGAACCCAATCGATTCAAGTGCAGTGAAGTGACACTGACCTTGACCTTCTCGTCCTTGCTGGCAGCGGAGAATGCGAGGGTGTCCAGGGACACTGCCACTGGGATGAAGTGTTGGTTGGTGGAGAGGGTGTGAGCAGAGAGGACCACAAAGTAGAGACTCTTCAGGTTCTGACTGTCCTTGCGAGAGAGAATGTAGCTGGACAGCTGCTGCAGTTTGTTCTGAAACCAACACTCCGCCTTACACTTAAAGGGTTCTAACACGGCACGGATTATAGAAATCATTACCAACTCTTGTAAGTTTCCACGTTAAATTTGCGATCTTATCTCAAAATTAAAAACAAAATGACAACGTCCAACTTAGGATTAATAATCTACAAGATCTCCAACACCAACGTTTCATCAAAAAACTTTGCTTTCAATGCCACACTGATTTAGTTAAGAGATGATCAAAATTTCAACGATCATATCCGGCTTTTAGCTACCGTAGAAACAGGATCCAAAAATTTTAATTTAGATCACAAATGAACCTGCAGGATCAGAGGTGGCTTGTTTAGTTTGGCAGCCAAATTGAAGGCCCCTTCTACAAACAGAGCAGTCACTCCCAGTCCTCCCTCCAGCTGAAGATACTTTTCGTTCACTTCATCCGCCTGACCAATTATGTCTTCAACCAACAAGAACAAGTTGTTCAGCTCAGTTGCAGATGTTTTCGCGGTTCCTGCCAAGTTAGACGCAATATGCACTCCATAAACTTGATTCGACAGAGGAGTGTCGACGTTTGATGTCAATTGAGCTGAGATTGATTTGACGAGTAAGTCTGCGTTGATGGACGCCAGGGATCCGAAGTCTGCAGCCGCTTGGATTCCGTAGAATCGGTCTTGCATCTTGGTCTTTTCATCTTCCACTGTCTTGATGGTCTTCTCGAAGTCCTTCGCAGGAACCTACACAAATAATGCTACTAATTAGGAAAGCTACAGATTAGGAATAAAATAGCGATCATTTTGTAATGCTTCGACTGTTATGTAACTTCCTCGTAGAAGTTATTTATTTACCAAGTTTTGATAGTTAAAATATAGTTGAGATATTTCTAAAAAATACTCTGATTGATATCAAAACAATTCTGATTATGTATCAACAGAACAAATATGTTTAGTGCTTGACAACAAAATCATTTTTGGAAGCAGAACAAAAAAAAAACAGAAGTACTCACCGCACACGAGAGCGCCTTGCTAATACCCGCGATGTAATATGCGTTCTGCAGCTGACTGGCAGAAGCCGCCACCTTCGATTTCACAAAGTCGCACACCGGTTTCGAACTCTTGACCTGTTGACCCAAACCTTTCACAATACTTGAGGCGTAAAACAGAGTTGCCAAATCATGTTGAGTCGGGTTTGATAAAGTGTTCATGGCCAATGCAGCTACTCGCTCGGTGTCTTCTTTGTTGAAGCTGTCGGTTATCGGAGCAGTCTGTGCATTGCACAAACTGACAAGCAGAATGAAACTGCTGACTAGTACACTCAGAACCGAGTCTGATAACATTTCTCAACTGAAAAGAGAAAAATCACCAAAATAAAGTTGTAACCAAAATAAAATAAAATAAAATTTAAACAAAGAAATCAAACGAATAACCAAAAAAAGTTAGAAAGCAGAGAGATGGCACAAAATTTTCCATCACTAAAATTTATTTTCGTGATTTGCACATCGCAGTTTCTTAAAATGCATTTCATTTACAAAAGCGGCACAGACCTACTTCTAGGCTGAATCATTAGAAAAAGCAATGACGCGATCTATTTAAACGTTTAACTGGCTTGAATTGAATTAGCACATATGTGCTAGTACAACAACCACCATGTATATTAATTTTTTTCATGCAGACCAACAGCTACATTTAGACCACACAAGCAAGCTAGCAATAAACACGCAAAAATGGCAGTAGTCAGATAATATCGTGAATGATTGATTAATGAACATGACGAGTTTTATTTTCAAATCACGTAGTTTGGATGAGCTTCAGATTGAGAGGGATGGGTGGTGGGGGGGGGGGGGGGGGGGTGTTTTTCTGGGCAACACTAGATACGACAAATAAACATCATATAGGATCGCATGACGTGAAATTTCGAGTCCCATTCTTTCGCAATAAAAACGGCACCAAACACTGTTTCAAAAAGTCTTTTCTAGTGATAAGTAGAGAAAAGTTCTTCGAACTTAACCTTTTCAGGCGATCGATCGTAAATGACTTAACTTCTTTACCCGATATGGTATGGCAGCTTAGGAACTGAAAAAAACTATTGGATGATAATTTTAACTTCGACAAAATATATTAAAGCATTACGGTACGCAAGACTGGAATTCACTGACAAAATGAAAAAAAAATTAAACTGCAAAATTTCAGAAGTTCTATTTGCGTCTAATTGGCATCAAATCCAAATAATCAATGTCAATATCAAAGTCAGATATGTAAACACATTAAATATAAACATTTAAATAACAATTTAACTGAATTTGACCCTTTGCCAACCAGCTCCAATTTGTCAATACACATTTAACAACACTACCCGGCTTGAACAGCTCATTTCATTTTTGAAACCTACTATATGCCGTGGAAAAAAAAGCATCGATTACAATTCTGTTTTCTTCGTGTCTGTTGCTGGCTCAACGCTTTTTACACTCTTTTTTCCCTCGGAGGCTTTCGAGCTTCCAGTAAGAATCTGTCGTATTTCTGAGTCGTATTCTTTCCACTCGGGTACGATTCGCATCGCTCGGTTCAGCTTCGGCTCTTTCGTCAGAGGGTTGTTGCACAAATCGATTGTCTTCGCACGAGACAGAGACTCATCGGAACACCATGTTTCGCACCATAACCACTCAATTGGCAGTGACTTTATTCTTACTTGATGGATCATGTTGTTCGGCAAATCTTGGTCCAAATTCGCCAAACTATTCGGATCTTGACTCAGTCCCTGGTACTGACCACGTAGTCTGTCACCAGCCGCTATTTTTCTGAACTTCTGAAGATCAATGACATATAAAGCGCTGATATGGTACTTCCTACCAGCCAGATGACTGGCCCAGTATCCACTTTTCCAGAATCGAAATCCTTCCATTTCTTTTTTGTCATCACAAAAAGGCGTGTAACCGTAAGGCGCACCGTCCAAATCCATATCTCGAAGTTCAGTTAGATCTGCACGCACAACTTGGTCAGCATCTACGAAAATGATTTTCTTCACGTTCAAAGGAAATAAGACGTCCAAAAACAGAATTTTGTATCCCCAAATGATTCTCTGTTTCTCAGTTTGTTGATTCAACCATCTTGGCCATTTGTATTCTACTAGCTCATAATCAAACTCGTACGATTCTTTCATTTTATCAACAGTGTCTTTGAACGAAGGTGAAAGATAATTTTTAAGAAACCAAAACTTCACAGGTGCTTTTGTGTTTTTCAGAACACTCACCATCATTACTCTCATGAATCGTTCATAGAGATGACCTGAAGCCACTGAAAAGATATTTAGTACCTCTGATTCCTGATCAGCTGAGGGGCATGATTCGCCATCAGTGCAAGGTAACCCAGCACCATCAGACGTCGCTCGACTCGATTCCGAATTATCGTCGCCGAAAATAGACGATTTGACGGTATCCCAGATTCCCGTATTCTTAGGCGGCTTCTCAGACTCAACCTCGCCCAGGACATCTTTGTTTTGCATGCCTGGCTTCTTACTCACAAAAACATGGATGAACTTATTTGTGAAACTCCTCATAGAAACGACGATGTCACTAGATCCGCTGGGAGTACTAGTACCTTTGGTAGAAGCAATCTCATAAATCTCTTTCGAAGGGCCCTCTCTCAATTTTAGAACCCAAGATCCAGGGTTAGCTTTCAGTTGGAAATATCCCAAATTAGCCATCACTATTGTATCGTACATTTTTGGGTTCTGAGTTGTCCCTAACGTGAACTGCAACCCTCTTGGCGGCTGGCCACTCTGCTTTTCGTAACACTGTCCTTCCAGAAGAATATGAGCCAGCTCATAATTCACGCGAACATTGTCAACCTCTAAATCTTTCAGTAAAATGTTGTCCAAATCGTATGGCGTCCTGACTGCTTCTACAAGCCAGCTTTCAGGTGTCTGCATATTCATTGTAAGCAACGTCGCTTTAGGCAATCCAGTAAACTTAGCCTCCAGTTTGGAATTTGAGATCGAGCCATTTTGATCAAACTCAAGAGACGCCGGCATCACGTATCTGTAGAAGCTATTTTGCGGCATTTCAGACCACTTTTTTATGCAGTTCATCACAACAGATATCTCAGCATTAACAAGTTTGTGCAGCTGTTCTAGAATTGGCGAGACTTTTTGAGCTGCTCTGCTCAAGGGTTCTACGGCTACATAGATTTTATGGAATGGTTCTTCGGGACTTCTTGGAGGTACATGTATAACGCCAACTCGGTCTCTAAAAATGCCTTTCGGCAATTCGACTCGTTCGTTTTCTGCCGCGTTTTTAAGCAAAGTGGAAGTTATTTTCATTGTCAGATCACTCAACTTGTTTCCTTCGAGATTCAAACTTGTCATTGATTTCAACGCTTTCGAGATTTCTTTGGCAGATAACACGTGGATATATTTATCCACTAGCCCAAAGTCATCGTAGCTAAACACCTCGTCGCCCTGAAAAGGTCCGATAACTTTCCCATTAGCAATCAACATCTGGTCCGTCGTCTTAGCTTTCAAAACTTTGCTGCAAAACTCGGTATGCATAGTGTAGACTGCTTTCAACTTTTTCTTGTCTTCGAAAGTTGCATGGAACTTTTTGGAGTCCATTCCTGTAACTTCTAGATCTTTCAGACTCCTTTTTCCAGCCTTCAGTTCCGCGACAAACTCTTCTTTCACCAACTTAGTAATAAACATTTTGGCATCTTGGTTGTTTTGAGACAACAAAGTTGCCAAAATAGCGTCACTTATTAACGTCTCTTTTGCATCACCGTGGTTGAACAGAAATCCGATTCTCATTGAATCTGACTTTTTCAGGTACTTCAGTGCCTGGTACGTGAGAGCTCGACCTTTTGGTTCCTCAAAATTGGCAGCTACCCACAATGTTACGCCTTTGTCAAACTCTGGATTTTTCTTAGCAATGTATAACATGCCATTACTCAAATACTCAGTCATTTGTGGTTGGCTCAAGGAGGAAAATGCCGCCGTAGCATCATATTTAGCGTACTCCAGGTACCGGGACAAGTCTTTGTTCAGAACCCGATCGTTCAATCTCGGCATCACATGACTTTGCTCCATAGCAAAATCTAGTAAATTCGATCGGTCATGAACGTCGTTCTCCCAAACCGCCTTTTGCCAGAAGAATGTTCCAGAGTAAACCTCACTAATAACCAAATCATCTAGATGGTCTTCATGTGAGACTGATATAGGCTTACCATTATACAGGACAGCTGGCAAGGCACCCAGTCCCGATTTCTGGTAAAACTCACTTCCAAGAGTGCTGTACGAATCGTACGCTTGGTCTTTGACAACAGTTTTTAACTCATGGTACTTCACTTTTTCCGTAAACTTTGTCTCCAAAATTTCTTCTGTTATCGAATTATCGGACGTTTTAGGAATGGCTGAATAAACTGATTTCAGAAACGAAAGCGCTTCGTTTGGATCATCTTCAGCCAAAAAGTATCCCACAATTCTGTTGATCATTACATTAACTTCGTTCCTCTCGTCTCTCACAAAAACAAATCCGATTCTAGTTGGAACAGAATTTGACAAACAATACTGCGCGGCAGCTATGTACGCTTTTGAACTCGGATTTGCGGGGTCAATTATGAAAACAGTGTGGTGTATGTTCCTGGCTAGTTTCCTCAGAGATCCCGGAAAGGTTGGTTGTAACAAATACTGCAGCGCCCTGGGCCATCTAGCATACTTGTCGTCATTTTCAAGGTCGTTTACATAATTGATTGCATCACTTCTGATATCGATTGCGTAATCTTCCTCTTTTTGCACGCCAATGTTCAAGTTCAGCAGTGGTTGAATGTTTTCGAACGGAAGTCCAAAACCAAAGAGTGCTGTTATTAGTTTCGATTCAGAATACAGAAGGTCAACTAACGCAAAGGGATCCAAAGTTTCAATTTCAACTTGCAGACCATTGATTAACATGAAAGGAGTTCCCTCATTTGCTATATACTCAATTGCTCGTTGAATATTGGTTATATCATCTCTCAAAGCTTTTGAGACTTTTATTTTTGAAAACTCGTTCGCATATACAGGGAAATTTTGCGAGTACTCACGTAACGCAGAAAGCGCTTCGTATGGTTCTTCGTTTTCTTTCAACTTTTGTACTGTTTGGTAACTGAGGTCCGACAACTCCCATACTTTCAGAGGCTTCAAGCCTTCTGATTCTTGTATCAGATGAAACTGGAGTTTATTAAGACCGTCTTTAAGGTCCGGGTTAGCTTGTTTGAGTTTACCAAAATCGAAGCCTTTGATAACCGAATGCTGTTCTAAAGCTTCAATTTGCGAACTCTCTGAATCTTGACTACTGTCAATTGCTTTATACTCTGTCGACTTAATTGCCAATTCGACTCCATAACCTGACAAATGAACAGTGCTGTTAAACGATTTTTGTACAAAAAACCGTAAGAAGTATCTAACGCTACCATCGTCTGAAAGTTGGGTCAACTCTTTGTGAAAATGTTTGAACGACTCAGTGCCCAAGTTTGCGTATAGAATCACATTAAGCGAACTCTCACTACTCGATTTAGAACCGTATAAATGGTCGAAATCAAAAACAGGAGGCGAGCTTTGCGCTGAGTCTTTTTTCGTTTTCACCAACTCTTTCAGCTCTTTGGCGTCACACGTAACAGAATTTTTGACGACTGCAAACGCTTCACATGAGTCTGATTCGATATAACTTCGGCTCATCTGTTGGTACATGGCGATTGCCGGGGAGTCAAATCTGACAGCTAAAGAGAGACTAAGCGACTCTTTTACTCTCTCTTCCAGAAACTCCGTGTTGTCCAAAATCCAGTTGTATGCATCTAACTGCGTACTGGCTGTGAAGTCTTTTGACACTGTGGACTCAATGAAAAACCAAAGAGAATCCTTCTGGCTTTTGTCTCTGGCTAGAAACTGCGCAGCTTCCAGAAGCAGAGGAGTTTCACTCCATCTTGAAGCCATGGAAACAGACACGGGTATTGACTGCGAGCCCGCGATAAATGATGACATAATTGAGCAAAATAGGACACACCGGTTCAATATTATTCCGATCGCAGAGAAGCGACGATTATGTGCTTCTCCCATACTGTACCTGAAAAACATTTTGCTTAAATACTTTGACCGCGATGAAAATGGCTAGACATAATAGCAATTTACAGTACTGCTGTTCACGGCTGATGTTATAAGGTCTGAATTTTTTTCTCTACTAACTCAATCACTGCGCAACGGCAATGGGGAGCTTCAAATAGAAAAATATCGATCGGAAAAACTTATAATCGCGCTCAGATTTCAGTTATTCTTGCTTGGTTATTTTTTTTTTCATGTTATTATTATATTATTTTATTACCATTATTTTTGCAAGTCAGGTATAAAATATAGATAGACCTTAGTAAATTATCATTTTTTGGGACAAATTATAGAAGCTTTAGGTACGCTTTAACAATATCGTGTTTCAGAAACTGTTGCATGTGTCTCGTTTTCAATGAAATTGTCAAATCCAAATCCCCTTCCTTTCTAGCTGGTTTTACTATGCAGTATTTCTCAAACATGCGTGAACAAGTTGTAAACTTTTCCGGTCTACCTTGGCCCAAATCAGTATCCGGATACCAATCGAAATATCTATTCCAGTTGGTAAATCGCATTGTAGTTGGATGATAAAAACTTGTAAACTGAGTAAACTCATTTCTGGCTATTTTATCAATACTTGACTGTATGTATTGTTCGTCCATTTTCAGAAGTTCACTTCTCATTAGGCAAGCAATTTCAAACGAGGTCAACTTAGTCGCTTCTTCTTTTGAAAGGTCGATGACCGCTAGGAGGATGAAGTTTCCGAGAACTTCGCGACGCACTGGTGGATCTCGTCTAAAGCGAGAATTAACTGATAGTTGGAACGGGAAAACATTTTCTGAATTTTTTTCTTTGTCCTCTATTGCAGTTTCTGCGAACGCTTTGTAAATCAAACTAACCAAGCAATCATTTGTCGAAGGTGAAACTTTAATGCTACCTTTGAAACCATCCTCTAAGCCTCCAGCATAGACATCTCGTTTTATTCTTTTCAAGCTGTCATAGTCGACTTCAAAGTTCAGAATAAGTGGCGGCTCATTTAGGAGGTCATCTCTCATAGCCTCTCCTAGTTCTTTCAACTCTTCCATAGATTTTATCACTCTGATTTCAGGGTGGTCAAAAATTGGTTCGTTGCCAGAAGGACGGATGTGTTTTAGGCGACTCCCTCGAAATATCTATAAGAAAAAAGCTACACACATTTTAGTTTTAATTGCGCAGAACCAAGTACTTGGATAAAACGTCAGGCAAGCCGCTTAAGGGCTTAAAGTATAGTGTTTCCAAAGAAAAAGACAATTTACAGACAAAAGTACATACGAGATGAACCACATTTACGGACAACCGCCGTTTTGACCCTGACCTTAAGTATACTTGCAATATGTTTTTTTTCAAGCTGGATTGATTAAGCTGCCTCGCCGTCAAGCAAGATGCATCGGTTATAGACTTTATTCCGACCACTCTCGAAGAATGGAAGGGAACCATATATTAGCGTCGGTTCTTTTATTTTTTCCAGCCAATTTTGTCTACCTACAGGAAAAGTTGTATAGAGTTAGATGTGGTATCATATTATAACCCCGTTGGTCAAGACAAACTGGTCATAAAAAATTCGATTTTAAGACTAAATTAGACAAAAACTGCTGCAACTTAATTTCTACTAAAATTTAACGTTATATGTTAACGCTACTTTCACTAAATTTACGACTCTTTGATGCTTTTTCATCTATTGCAATCGCAATTCTAAGAAATATAACAGGAAATTTAGAAAACAAAAACTAAAAAAAAAACATATTTCTTCATTGTTGTATTTCTTTTCTTGATTCAACTTGATCAGAACATTCTGTGTCGCTTAAACAACAACCAGCTATCAGTGTCTCAATTGTTCAAAGATTAGCGAACACCTTTACATCATACAATGGTAAAGTTGCACTTCACAGACACCATCCAACTTTTTTAAGCCCTTGAAATGACCCATTTTTTTAACGGATTTAACAAATTTCATACACACTGTGTTCAGTACAAAAATATGCTTTTGATTTAGTAGCGCACTATTACGACCAATTAATTGCTTTCACTCAACTTGCAATGTTTAGCGATCCAGAACCATTCGTCGTTTACGCTAACCGTTAATAGAAACTGGTAAACATTGCGCACGACTGAGCCCCAATTAGGCTATTTCCAACAGCTTTAACTTCGCAAAAAACAATCAATACATACATAGCCAACAGACCATTGTAAAGGAGTCAATGAACGCAATGAAACAGAAAAATCGACCTTTTTTTGGAAAAACTTCAACTTTCGAATTCCCAAGTATATGACCTTAAAGCTCTTGGTACAAAATATATGACCTTAAAGCTCTTGGAATATCAAAAACAATCGATCATCGACCCTTTTTGATTTAATTAACTCAAATTGAGAAACTGGATCAACAGGTAAGGCTGTTATTCTGCTGAGTAATATGAAAATTAAATTCCACTCTCGAAATTAGAAGTCGATCACGTCTACTGTGAACTTAACAATTTTGCTTATCGATAGTGGAGTTTCCCTTCCTATAACAAAGGAGAAGAAATGAACTTGAAAATAAATGAACTTGAAAATAAAAGTCAAACCGCGAAAAACAAAAAAAATCAACCTTGACTTTTCCCGAAAAAAAAAACAAAAATCATCACGACCTATATAAGAGTCTCCACTACGTTCACTACAATTCTTAATGAAAAATCTTTTAAATTTAGATTAAAAGCTTTGAGATGATACTAATTGATGGTGGATTATATTATAAGCACACACTGTAATAAAATTTGAAAACCAAAATGTGTAACAAAAAATGGGATACGATGAAATCGTTTACTTGTGTAAGCAATCTGATGTAAGAGTTCTCAGAAACCGCTTTTACTTCTCTGGTTGAAAATTGTTTCTTCCTTTGGTATTTTGTTTTACGAAACCCACTCATTGCTGATCAACCCTCAGTTCAAAACACCAGCCGTCGGTACCAATATATACTAATTTTAGGGACGATCCCCTGCCGAAAAAAAAACAGAAAAATTTCAAAAACATGCTCCAAATGACATTTTGTCCAAAAATTTGAATTCTCCGCAGGAAAATTTGCCAAATATGGTCACTGCACTTAGCAAAAACATGGACACGGCTTTTTCAATTCAATGAGTGGAAAACAGAGTGAGCAGTCTAGCAGAAAACAAATGAGCAGTCTAACAGTGAGTGCAGTTGCCTTTAGCATACTCAAGCAAAAACAGCAAACCATATGCATAGCCACTAAGTGAAGTTGAAGAAGTTATTTTTTCTAAACAAAAGGCTCTGAAAAATAAAAACAATACGTTACCTCTTGCTCCGAAAACTTGAATTTGCTTTCTCTGACTTGAGCGCAGAAATCAGCAATAATCAAATATGCTGAATTAATATCACACAAACAGTGATGAATTCCAAATGACAACATCATCCCGTCCCCACCCGACAATGGTTGCACAATGATTTTGAGCAGATATTCGTCCATTGGCTGGTCGTCATTAAAGTGTTTTGCACACAAGTCGTAGTTGAAATTAGAAGCCTCAAGGTCAGAAATAGAGACATGAGCCGACTCCAAGTAGACAATCTGAGCACCTTCATTGGTCAATTTGACAACTGATTCTGACAATTGGATCCTGTAAACAAGATTTTACCGCTTATTAGACCTTTAAATTGCCCGTCAAACGCAAATTTAGTTAAGAAAATTTTTAGTTCAGCGTTTGTAAACACAGATTTTTGTCTAAACCGTTTTTTCACGTCGATCTTTTTGCTCCGACCATTGAAAATGATTAGGAACTTTCTATTCGGGTGTATTTTAGCTACCTTTTTCTTGTTTTCCCACGCAAAATCAGGTACCACAAATAATCATCTGAGTGGGTAGAGTTATATATATTACAGCAGCCCTATCAGTCGCGATTCAAGTGAATTTTAAAAAGTTTTCCCATTGTCAAGAAAAAACTGTTTGAAATTTGTTTTTGTGTAAATTTGAGCAATCAAACGTCTAATTTTGAGCGAGTAAAGCAATTCAATAACGTGTAAATAATTTAGCCCTTCTTGTCAGTAAAAGGATTCAAAATATTTGAAAATTATTGTTCAAAAAAATCAAAGAACAATTAAAAAAAATTTATTTTTTATTTTTCTTGTTATTAACTGTTTGAAGATACCAATTGTCGATTTTGCTTAAATCACTTTCTTTGTACGCGTTTGTATTTTTCTCCTATCATAACACGCACAAAAAAAACACATTTGTAAAAAAAGATCATAGTTTTATGCTTGTGCTCGGAACATTCTGTGCTACTTGCACAGCAAACGACTTGCAGCGCAAACGGCTATCCTTATTGGATTGTCAATGAAAGCTTTAAGATGCCCAATCTAAAATAAGAGCTCGCTTACCTTCCAGAAAACTCTGGATATCTATTCAGCAGCTGAACCAATGCCCTCTCTATGGCTTGATCCTGCACTTTGTAACTGTAGAAGAAGCATAGTTGGAATCTGATTGGGGCCATGAGCATGTCCAGAGCGGACAGCTGGCTCTCTTTTCCAGATGAATCTTCATAATTCGAAGCTTTGACTACTTTTATTTTCACTGTTGCGTACTGGTGGCTTTCAGTCGTCATTCTTTCTCTTCAACTGGATTGATTTTGATTTGGTGATTAAAATAAGCGACCAAATGATCTTCAGCCAGCAAACAGTTTTATATACAGAACTAAAGATTGAGATAACTTGGACGAAATAGAAAAACAGTCGATGATGCTTACTAAGACCTACAAGGATCAAAAGAGCGATTTCTAATTCAGAAAAGATTGAATCTGAAAATCACCGAGAAAACATAGTTTTTCTCGGTGATTTTGAGATTCAATCTTTTCACCTTTTCAATCTTTTAGTCAACCTTTATTACACTCCGACAGATACATAGTTATCTGTCGGAGTGAAATAAAGGTTGACTAACGTGAAAAAACCATTGAGTAAAAAAATACGTCGCATTCGGATTGACTTCGATCTTAAAAACCCTACACTAAAGCAACCTCATCAATTTGTCGTTCATCAAAAAATGTATCCTCACAAAAACAAGGCAGAAACAAAATTTCATCAATTCACATGTGCATCAGTTTAATATCATCAAAAATATGAATGTCATGTATATTTAACACAGCATGTTATTCACATAGGACAGTGATAGATGTGTCTTGGGAAGGGAATCGTGTTTCTGATGTTGCTAGAGGCAGTCAGCCAGAGGAGGAATCTCTCAAATCCAATTCCATATCCCCCGTGAGGCACACTTCCGAACCGCCTCAGATCCAGGTACCAATCAAGGGCTGCCCTAGACGTCTCGTCCATCGATTCCTATAAACATATTAAGAAAACAGAACAATTGACTTCTAGCTCCAACACTTCCTTGATTTAGGTACTCTTAGCAAAGGTTTGCAAATCCTTGTTTAAAACTAAACTCGCTGGAAAACATTCATTAATTAATTTTACCGTAGTACAATTCTCTGCAGTGTAAAAATACACACTATTTCACACTATGCACACTGAAACACTAACTTTCATCCGCTGTTCTAATTTGTCCACCCGCTCTTCGCGTAAACTCCCTCCTGCCAGCTCACTGACTCGAGGAACTAACAGGTCAAAACTAGCACTAGTTTTTCCACCGCCTTCATTCTCCCGCACATAGAACGCCTTCTGCTGCTTCGGGTAGTTGAACACAAAAACTGGCAGTTTGAATTTATCAGTAAGAAACAACTCGTGTTCACGTAACAGATGACTTCTCATATTCAACTTTTCTTTCCCCTCTTGAGTTACAAAATCGTTATTGAGAATACCAATGGCTTCTGCAAAAGAAAGTCGGATAAACTCCGAGTCCACAACGTGTCGCCAATCTTTGGCAGTTGGTTTGCTGTCGTGGTCGGCTTTTTTCCAAAGAATTTTTATTTTGTCGTGGCTTTCACTCAGAAGATTGTCAATCGCGTGCTTAAAAATGCAAACCGAATTAGCAATTAGATTAAGATCCAATTCATAGATTTCTTTCTTGGACAAACAGTGATTAGATACATAAATGATCCTATAGAACTTCTCAACTTTTAAAATGGGATTCCGAGTGGCTTTGATTGAGTTATTTTGTGTTTTACCTTCACGCACTGTTCTGCATTATCCATGATAGAGTGTACACTGTCTACGTATCCCATCTCGGCTTCTAACATATAAAACTCAGAGAGGTGCCGAATGGTCCTCGAGTTCTCCGCCCTTAAACAATCGACTCGCACTTTTTTCTGTGGATTTATTGTACATGAAATTCGGCTTTTTTCCACTTCCCCCACGTGGTGATATATTACAATAGGTGGTAATTTGAAGTTAAATAGCTGGATCGCTTTTTGTTATACTTTGCACAGTTTTTATAATTTATTATAATTTATTTCAAAAGCCAAATTTTTTGGCTAAAGTGCAAAATTTGAGTTTTTGAGTAACATTTCATCTGGCAGAATACTGTATTTACAAAATCTATCTTAGCAGCGTGTACAAATGATTGAAAATGAAATGACTATATTATGCATTGTAGTTCTCAATTTTAATACATGCACTATAATTAAAATTACCACCTATTGTAATATTTCACCCCCCCCCCCCCCCCCCCCCCCACGTTTGTATTTCAGTCTAGAAAAAGTATTTCAGTAGTCTAGTAATAATTCAATGAAACTTCGAATCGTGATCAGATTAACTATAGTGAACGTAATTGTTGACCATGCTCTACATGGTAATGTCACGCATTTAGACATAATAACACAAAACAACTAAGAAAATACAAAGTTTGAAATGTGGTGGAGGGGAGGGGGAAAGAGGCGGCAATTCAACCAATAAGAGATTTAATCAATTACTCGGAAACCTTGCCTAGTTATTTATGTCACATTAGAGGGCACAATAAGCTTAAAACAAAACTGCATCAAAGCTCCCTGTTAATCGGAGGGGTCGAAACCATTGCTGCAGTTCCCCAGGGTCTGTAGAGGCAAAATGGAGCAGAAGGGGAACCACTCTTCATAGCTTCATTGTGCTGGTTTCGACGCCTCCTCTCTACGCCTTCAGTTAAATGTGGTTTGATGAACCTGTTCAAGGTGGCAAGAACCGAGTGGATCTCTTTGTCCGGTTTGAGCATTACAGAAGAGAACCAAGAAAAACTCCGGTTATATGGAAATATGAGATATGCTACAGATGTTTGGCAGATTCTTCGTGATTTCCCTTGAGCCCTCGATGGCACAAGAGGTAGGCTGTAACCGACAGTTGAAGTCGAGTTCGGTGGTGAGTGGTCATGTCTAACAATTTAGGTGACTACGGGTTTGTTATCGCTTAATCTGTGATTGTAGCTATTAAAATAGGTTGTGCCCGGATGGAAATTGAGCGCGCGTAGATCTGAAAATGTTCCGGTGGTGATGGCAGTATTTCATCAAGTAGCTTAAGCTTTTTCTTCAGAAATCGCTATACTTGTTATATGCAAGTTTTGAACCCGCTAGCATATTCATGCTTAGAGATGTTCTCCTGAAATTTGGTAAGCAAATTAATAAACTATTCTAATTCTAGTGTCTATGTACAAGGTATGTACATAAGATTAGGTGTTAAAACGTTTAAAGGAAGTAGTTGAATTAAGACGTTAAAAAGGACCACTGAACTTCCGTTCATATCGACCGATGGTCGTAACTAAACTGGTATTAATTAAAATACCGAAGGTCATTATAACAAACTAAAAACAAATCACAACATTTCCCACCGGGAAAAAAAATGAAACTGCAAAGTAACTATATAACTCTATACACACCCTTTTTCCCCCTCAGAAGATGGAAGAAATTTTTACAAACTGCGCCCAGAGGGTAAATATACAGCGGCAAAATAAAATCCACAAATTGAAAGAGAATGTAGCAATGTACAGGGTGTTTATACAGAATTACAATTTTTACAGAATACGGTAACTAACTAAATAAAACTAATCCACAACATGTACATTAACATGTACAATTGTATCTACAGGTAAAATTAAAAGTCCGGCGAAAATATAGATTATAAAATTGTTTTGATAAGTTTGGTTTGATATGACGATTATAAGAATTGTTCCTCGAACTCATCCAGTTTAGCTCTCACATCTGAATCTATAGTTGATGAGATCTCGCTGTAGTTATCCATCTCTAATGAAGAGTCTTTCGAGGTCGGGTCAGATAAATTGGTGGTCGAAGAATTTTCTAGAAGTTGGGTCTTCGTAGTTGATGCCGCAAGTTTGCCCGTCGGGAGGGAGTTTCTTGAAGACCATGTCAAAGTAGTTTCTGCGACTAAGATCTGTCTAGGGGGTGCCTCCGCTAATGGAGTCAGAAGATCCGAAGGGGAGTTGACAGAGAAAGTAGACAATTCCGGTGCCTGCGAGAATACACACGTTATCGCCCCTTGGTCATCTTTCTCTTGCACCACGTCGATAAATCGTCGATTTCCGTAAAACTGTGGGAGGCCCACATTTCTACGTGGTCTGGAGTTTCTGGTTTTTGGAGTCACGCTGGTGGTCTGTTCCGGAATACTGTCTATAATAATAGGGTTGTCCTGAGATCCTTCGCTAGTATTCGCGTGGTGTATGACTTCAATCTCCCGTGGGTCGTTGTTTGCTGACCCTTCTGAGCTCGAAGGTGGAGTTTCGGCATGACCTGTAATACTTAAGCCCTGATTAGTCTCGGAGTAGGGGTTTTGGGGTACGTTATTATTGGTCACATCGTCAAAGTAATCCTCGATTATCCCGTCCCACGAATCTAGGTTTAAGGAAGATGAACCTGAAGAAAGTTTAGGAGCGTCTTGAGTGGCAGAGCTCGCAGTCGGTGCGCTAGTCCCTGGACTGATAATCTCCGTTCTCGGGGTGCCTTGTCTCGAATGGACAGCTGATGATGTTCCAGTTTTCTTCGGTGGAGAGAGTTTCCTTTTCCCAGCTAAACTCGAATGAATATGAGTATTATGCCCAGTGGGTGTCTGATTAACTATTATCTTTTTGGGCCCCGGGAGTATTTTTCCTTTTATAGCTAGATCCGATTTACGTAAAACGTGGCCATTGTCGAGGGTAACAGTGTGCTCTGAAGAATCGATTATATCCTTCTTAACTAGATTAAAGTAAGGATCCCCATTTTTTCTGTTAGACGCCTTTCTATATAAATTACCTCCCGTTACTGCTTTTCTTTTTCCCCAGTGGATCTAACGTTCGGGTAGTGTCGTCCGTGTTTGTGCGAAGTCTGAATGTCCTAGATAATGGCAAGTTTTCTTCTGGGTCCCACGTGCTGTCCCTTTCCTCGTCCAGATAGCCATCCTCTGCCCCGTCGTGTAGTTCCCAGTTGGTCGCCCGCTCTTTTGACAAGATAGCCTTTCCTTTATCTAAATGTTCAATATTGGACATGAGATTTTTCCACCTAGTGTTCGCTACTCTATTAAAATGCTTTTCAAACGGGGTACAGCCGATCGCCGATTGCTTTGAGATTCTCAGATTCCAGATGATTTTCTCGATCGAATCGTTTAGAGATGGCTTGGGTATTTCGAATGACATTGCCAGTAATTTCGATTTAATTGTGTGCACAAGTTTTTCCACTAGCCCGTTGGATCTGTGGTCTCCGACCGTGCAGTAGATGATTTCTATATTAAATTTATCGCAGAAGTTTTTGAAATCGTGTGAAAGAAAGCATGACCCATGGTCGACTCTAATTTTTCTTGGGAAACCGTGAAGATGACAGTAATCGTTTAGGAATGAAATTACGTTTCTTGTAGAGGTGTTATTTACAATCTTGGCCGAAGGGAACTTAGTGTAGCGGTCGATACACAGTAAAATGTATTTGTTGTTACCCCAACTAGCGTCCAACGGTCCCGCAAAATCCAAATTGATTTCTTCGTTCGCGAATGCCAACGTCGGGAGTTTCGAAATATTATTGGTGCCTAGTATCACTTTAATGTTCTTACCAGCTTTTAAACATTGGGTACATGTTCTCCCGTGATGGTAGATTTCCCGATAAATATGTGGCCACCACAAATATTCTGCGAGGGATTTCATCCCGAACTGTCCTGGGTGAGTCTCGTGTAACATTGAATTAAAAGTTCCCCTGATGGTAGCTGGGACGACTAGTTTGTTGTCCAAAAAGAGTAGGTCATCCTTCACGTGTAGGTCTTTAGTATAGTTCTTCATGTAGGTCCCGTGTATGCCCATCGGTCGATTCCGCTTTATCGTCTCTATCAGGTCCCACAGCACCTTGTCTTCTCTCGTCATGATCTGAAGCAATTTCTTCGAACAGTGGTTCTCTGGGCGAATTGGGGAAATCGGTAAATTCAGATCGGCCTTATATCTTCTTAAGAGATCTGCGTGGTCTGGTGGAAGTTTGTCGTCTCTGAATTTGAGGGCAATATTATGTTCTTCGGGGATAATCAAAAGGGGTTCACTCACTTTGTCCATCGGGAGTTCTTGTTTTTTCTTGTTAGGTGGTATGAGGTGTCTGTTTCGAAGTAAAAAATGTAGAAGGACTTTGTCCGAAAAAGTAATACTTTTAAAATTAAATTTTGAATTATCGACTGGTTGGCAATTTGTAGTACAATTTTCTGTCCGAGAATGATTATTGTGGCAAATTTTTATCGACTGAGCGATACAAGATATGATAGCAGCAATAATCTTGAGATTGAGTAAAGCTAACGAGCTATTCAGCTGATTCTGACCAATCACGTCGCTTGAATTTTCTTTTCCCGATGGGATTGTATTAACTCGTGAATTAATATTTACAGCGACCGTTGGTCTATCTACAGAATTTACAGTAAGTAATTTAGAATCAATTTTAGTCGATAAAATGTTCTGAATTCTGTCGATTGAAGCGACTACAAATTCGTCGTCATAATGTGAAATTGGAAGGGCTTTGCCCGAAGGAAGTCTAGATAAGAGGTCAGTAAAGCCCATGTCCTTTCCTGGTAAATGTGAAATTTTAAAATTGAAAGGTAAAAGTCTGTTTACCCAGCGGGTCAATCGACTGTGCATCGTTTTATTGCCATGATTTGCCGAAAGTGCTGATAGTAGAGCTTTATGGTCAGTGACTATTTGGAATTCTGTTCCGTACAGGTAGTTTCTGAAATGTTCTGTAGCCCATACGACTCCCAGTAGCTCTAGTTCGTTGGTAGAATATTTCATTTCATGGTTGTTTAAAAATCTGGATGCAAATGCGATTGTTTTCCACTGGTCGTCCTGTAATTGTTCTAGGGTAGCCCCTAGTCCGCTATGTGAGGCGTCCGTTTTCAGTCTTGTTTTCTCTTTTATATCAAAGTGGCTGTTTTCTGCAAAATTTACAATTTCGGTTTTTTACTTCTCAAAAGCTATTGAATGGCTGGTATCCCATTTGTATAGCGATTTTTTGTTTAAAAGGGGTCGAAGAGGGGAGCTTAAAGTGGATAAATTAGGGACGAATTTTACATATTGGTTTATTGAGCCGAAAAATGAGCGAAGTTCAGAAATATTCTTCGGGGTTGGCAAATTTTTTATAGCGTCGGCTTTACCGACCAGCGGACGTACTCCATTGCCTGAGATCTTGAAGCCAAGCCATTCGATGTCAGATTTAAAAAATGCGCATTTCCCCCATTTCACTGCCATGTTGTTCTTATCTAGGATTGATAAAATTTTGTGCACTATTGCTTTGTGTTCTTCCAGCGATCCACGTGAGGCTACCAGGATGTCGTCTATGTAACAATTTGTAAACGGGATATTTTTCAACATTGAGTCCATGACCCGTTGGAAGTCATTGGGCATGTCTCCTAATCCGTAAAATCCCGTTAGAAACCGGTACGTTCCAGTCGTTTCGCCGCCTACTATGCTAAAATTGCACTGTTTACTGGTTTGATTGCAAAGTTGAAGTTGGCTATATGCGTTTTTCAGGTCTAAGTTACTAAACCACACTCGCCCGTTGGGTTTTTCTGAAATTTGTAGTGCCACGTTATCAATCAGTTCGTGTATATTCGGCATTTGATACTTATTTTTAAAAATTTGATCATTTAAAAGCTTGGAATCCAGTGCCAGTTTTATTGAAGAATCCTTTTTCCGAGTGATTACAATTGGGCTGATAAAGCAATCTTCGTCGCATTTCTCTAATTTTATTATGTGACCTTCTTTTTCCATTCTTTTTAATTCATCGTTCACTGCCGCGAGTAAATGGAACTGTACTCTTCTCCCTTTGGACTGTATTGGTTTAAAAGGTGTGTGAAAATGGGTTACCTTCCGATCGTTAGGTATTTTCCCCACTCTAGTGAATAAGTCCTTAAACTCGTTAAAAATGTTGTCTGATAAAGAAGGTAAGTTTTTGTACTCACTCTCAAGTGTGGGTTGACTGATCATGCAGATTGGTTGCGGGCATTTCCTCTGCGAAATTTCTATGCCCAGTTTGGGTAAATTGTCGTTCCCCAATATGTTACGCTCGTGTCCGCCGGTTATGAAGAATGGGGTTTCTTCGCTGATCCACCCATTGGATTGTGTTCTGACAATTATTTTTCCCAAGATATTGATCGTATCGTTGGTAAATCCGCAGTATAGGAGGTCTTTTATTCTTTTCTCCACTGGGTGTATCTTGAGGTTTGGGTATCTTAGTTTAATTTCATGAAGAACATTCTGTTTTAAAAAGCTTACAGGACTTGCTGAATCTACCGGTATGTTCATATTTACAATCATGTCCCAGCCAATGCCTAGGTTCAGAAGTTTCTTTGTTTCAAGACCATTATTGTCGTAGATAGTTCTGACACTCAACACCGAGAAGTCGTCATCGTCACTCTGTCCGTACTCATTCCACGCATTTATCACGTCGCACGATTCTTTTTCTTCCATCCATGAGTTTTCCGGAGGTGTGTATGTACAATTCTCAGTATTTACGAAATTATTTGATACATTATTTACAGTTGGTCTCTTATTGCGTGATTTACATAATTTGGCGAAGTGTCCCTTATAGTTGCAGTTTTTACATGTTATGTCCTTCGCTGGGCAAACATTTAAGTGCCCTTTCGTAAATGTATTTCCGCACTTCATGCATGAGTTACTCCTTTCGATGTTTAGGCTTGGTTCTTTTTTGATATGGTTGTGGTTGCTAAACGATTTAAAAGTTGTCCCGTTGGTCGATGATCGTGACATATTTGTCAGTTTCTGGTGATTAAAATATCCCTTTTCGTCGATTAGGGCTTGATTAAGTGCTTCCGACGGGCTTATGGTAGCTGAAAGTAGCTTCCTCTGGGTGTCTGTGTTCTTCATATTGCAAATGAAGATATCCCTTATCCACTCTGCCTCGTCGGATTCCTTGATGTTGCACGTGCTGGCTAGGTCCGTCAGCGCTCCCCAGAATTGTTCGTACGACTCACGATCTTTTTGTTTTCGATTTAGAAGTTTATATCTTTCGAACGTAGTATTGGGCGGTTTGTTAAATGCTGCGTCTAGTAGAGTCCAGAACTCGGAGAATGATATTGCTAAAATCTTGACTCTCGGGTTCTTTTGTGTAAAAACTCTTTTTCCTTCGCTCCCTAGGGCTAAAAATAAAATTGATCGCAGTTTCTTGTCCGCCTCCGTTCGTCTCATTCCATTAAATTTTCTTTTCTCTTCGTTGATCCGTTTCTCTTCTGCGGATTCGTACTGTTTCATTGTGCTTTTGTTCCTGCTCTCTCTGTTGGCTTTTTCCGCGTCCGACTCGCTGCCTGTCGCCTGTTCCAAAATTGGAATTTGCGTCTCCGGTATCTCTGGTCCATGTAGGCTCTCTATATCCAGATTTTCTTTCGCTATGATCGCTAATTGGAATTGGTCGCTCCATTGGGTCCAGGCATGCGGTGGCTCTAGGGTGTGATTAGGCCAAAAGGGGGGAATTCCACGCACGTTCGAATCATTTGACTGCGCCATAATAAACTATTCTAATTCTAGTGTCTATGTACAAGGTATGTACATAAGATTAGGTGTTAAAACGTTAAAAGGAAGTAGTTGAATTAAGACGTTAAAAAGGACCACTGAACTTCCGTTCATATCGACCGATGGTCGTAACTAAACTGGTATTAATTAAAATACCGAAGGTCATTATAACAAACTAAAAACAAATCACAACACAAATGTTCAATGGAGGGTTGGAACTGGGTTGAGGGTGAATCTTTTGGTGTTCTGATTGACTTTTTTTGTGATTGATGGTATGATGCAGTGATCCCACGGTATTCAGATTTCAAAATTCTCTGACTTTATTAGGTGAAATTCTCTGACTTAATAGCTTCGGATTCGTTTTTTAAACTAGATAGAACCTGCAAACTGTTTGAAAAAACGAAGTACAGGAAAGTTAGGTTGAATTTAGAAATCCAAAGTTGTCAACTTTTGTTTCTTATACTACATTTCCATATCGATCAAAGACTGCTTCTGCTTTCACTAATGATCAATTGCTCCGCGCTTTTTTTTGCAATGCTGTGAGTTCACTCAGTATTTTTCGTTTCTCAGCACGAACTGCTCCTTTTTTGGTTTGATTTTTCCTGTCTACCGCCAAGTCTTTTTCGTAGAGGTCTGCTACCCTTCACGGCATTCAGCATATGCTTATCGACTAAATAACGGAACGAAGTTTTTCCAGATTATCGACTTTTCCGAATGAAAACCCAGTAGTCGAAAATTCTGTTCAACCACAGTATGTTTTTTCATGCCACCTAAAAGAACGATTTCATTTATGGAGAATCCTCCTTCAACTCGTCCATTTCCATGCGAAAAAATCAAGATCAGTTTGAGTGGTTTCCGAAGCTCCGAATCGGCTTTAAATACGTTTTTGGAGAACTCATCTAATCTGTCAGGTTGAAATGAAAAAACTTTGGCTGCATCAGTGAACGCCGTATTCTGGAGCAAAGATGCGACCAATGATGGCCTGCTTTGTGTTCATGGCTGTTCTCCGCGACAATCGCAAAAAAATTGTCCGGAACCAATTCAATGATTAATCTCTACGAAAGCGCATCCAATTCGAGTCAGAAATATATTCGCTTTTTCTATTTATAGCACAGCTCCACGATTTACTCAGATGAGGTTTTTCTCGACATGCGTCGGAATCAAAAATCACTAGAAGATTGACAACTTACCTCAAGCTCTAAAAAACGAATATTCAGCAATCTCTCCCATATTGGTAATATCACAGTGTGAAGGGCTATTACTTCATTGTTAATGGGGTTGGGGATATAATGGGAAAGACCTATTCAATCAAAAAAAGTCCTACAAAATAATACCAACCCGTTTACTTTAACTTTGTGCAGATTTACGCCTTCCCAAATGCTTCATGATGTTTCTAGGTGGTATAATAGGACAAAAAGTATTATTTATTGATGCTTCAGTTACGGAGAAGCAAAAATGGAATACACGAATGAAAGACGTTAAGTACCTGAAAGCGGGTCCAAACGTGTACACATCTCTCAGTCCATTGACTAGGGACTCCAAATGAAGCTGCCCACTGACTGTTAGTTGCGTCGGCACCGAGAAGAAATGCTGTCTAGTTCTGGAGTGAGATTCTTTAGAGGAACTTTCATTGCAGGGATCACTGTCAAAAATTGGAAACCAGTTTTCACATTTGATTAAGCTTAAAAAATGATGAAAGTTCCTAATTAGTTCAGAACTCCCATTAGATCAGTTCCTAATTAAAAATTTGTCAAGCTTGAAAAGGCTAACTCATGGCCCATAACTACAGACACTCAATTCGCATTATTTTTGAAAATTTCAACATGGGCATTTATTGATCACTAAAACATTTTTCCAAGCTCGGTTCTTGATGTGCACTTGACTTTCTAAGTGATCTACTAGCGAAAAGTAAATCAGCAAAAAAGTGCATCAAGCATTTTGTATTTATTTTACTCTCCAAATATTGCAGTTTTTCATTTCGATTTTTTAAAACACAGACAACGCTAAACAATCAGCAACACTAACAACAAATTCAGCTTGAAATTTTCAGTTACAAATTTCTCAGGACCAAGAGGGCAGCCAGACTCGACCTGGGTTTTCAATAGGAGCTCCGATTTTGTTTGCAGTCACGAAATTTTTTCCTTCCCCATTTTTCCTTTCAGTATTTAGTTCGTTTAAATTTAGAGATACAAGCCAATTATAGAAAGATACCACTTCCAAGATATTTTTTTCTCTTTAGACCCCTTGGCTTTTTTCAACAACCCTCCACATTAGAAATTAAATTTTGAAAAAATTCTAGCGTAGCCTTAATGCAATGAAACTTTGCATGGTACACTAACTATTTGCAAACATATTTGTTTGTTATTCATGCTTTACATCACGCATTCAGCCATCAAAAAATGAAAAACAATTATAAAAAAAACAAAAAATTTGGTAAACTTACAACATTCAAATCGATTTGAAACATGGTGGGATGAAGGAAAAGAATCCTTTTTAGAGCCAAAACTTCAGCAGAATAGAGGGAATGGCGTGGTTGTTCAACCACAGCGACTGTAACGCAACCAAGAAAGACTGGCAAGTGTTGTTCGGAGGGGGGTTTATGGCACTTGTGTTCATACTGCTCGTGGAGTTCATTGGTCGCAGTATGAAAAACAAGATGAGGGGCGATTCCTCAATAAGTAGCACAGACAATAAGGTCAGTCAGTTTCAATATTTCCAGGACAACTTGAAAACAGTAAAAGCTCTAACTTTTTTTATTTTAAATTGGGACATTTTATTGGACGCTATTTTGACCAAAAGGATAGAGGAAAATACAGAGGCCTCCATAACAAACTCAGAGTGACTATATATAGATTCGCTTTGTTGCTGTAAACATTCTCAACAGAATACCAATGTTAACGCAGAGCTGAAGCTGAGCTTCGCATCACTTGCGATACAATGCAAGCATAGCATTGCAAGCTAGTGAATAGAGATAAATTAAATTCCGGAGAAGCAGCCGAGAAACACAACCACCAGCATTAAATAAACGTTTGGTATCCTTGAGCGATCAATCGCTAAGCGGACAATACTTGGAAAGAAGCGCATTGAGCAGACTACAAAATTTTCCATAAAAAATTATCAAAACATTTTTGAGCACTTAAGTATAACTTGAAACCTTTACTTCACAACTGTCCTGCATTTTTTAAAATCAAAATAAATTTTGCATTTCAACAATACAAAATAAGTTGCCTAGGCCAATGAAACAACCCGAATCTATTCTACCAATAAAAATGAAAATAAAAAACTTAGTTAAAATTCGAGATGTTAAATTGAAGAAATAACAGTAAGACTATCAATAATAGTGCGACTCGTTTAAATCAGAAAAGGCTTTAGAAATTAGTCTAAAAAAATTAGTTCCTGGAGATAAATTCAGTTTCATACATACTGAAAACAGAATGTCAGACCGAGACTCGAAATGGAGCCTAGTGGGAAGGAGCCTACAATTTGTAAAAGTTCAAAAAACGCAACCTAAACTTCTAAAAGATAATAATTATACGACAAGGATAGCCGGTTGCTGCGGTAGAACATAATTTTCCGACCATACTCATAAAACAAAAAAGTTTTCTTTTTAATTTTCTTTAAATTAGCGTCCTTTTTAGTCGATGACGCAATGCCAGAACTATACGATTGCATAGAAAGTTAGTAAATTAGGCATGATCGACATTATTTATTTTCAAAGAACTTATAAAAAATGAAAAAAAAAATCGAAAAAATTTTCCAATTTTTTTTCACACTATTTTAATTTTTTTTAGAAAACCCCTTTTGACAATCAAGCGCTAATTGAAACATCTGAAACAAGTTTTCTTTATAGTAAAATCAAGTTTTTTATTCTTAAAAATCTTAAAAAAAACAGTTAATTTCCATATAACGAGCGTTACTCGATCGGGTTACTTACTCGAAAAAAGATGAAAAGTAAAAAATTTGGATCCGGTTTTTCTCGACACTGGGAAAATGTTTTGGAAATGTCTTAATGTCTTTCGAGACACGACTGAAAGAGCTTTAAAATGATATATCACTCTGATTACTTGTGTTTGGCGATTTTGCATGGAAAAAACAAAAACACACCCGAATACAAAGTTATTCCCCATTTTCAATGGCCAAAACAATTTAAAAACTACTTGCTCTCGCAAGTGTAGAAAACGGAAGTTGAGCCGCCAAAACTACAAACTGAGCCGACAAAATATTAAATTTTATTTTTCAAATGTTTAGTTTTTTTGTGCGAGAGGATGGAAAGAGTGAGAGCTAGGTTATAACAAACTGTCAATGGCTTTACGAAAGTTTGATAGAAAATTTTACCTACAGAAAATGAATCTATATGAAGAGTGGAAACTTCAATGTAAAATCGTTTAAAGGCAAAATTTTCAAATCGGATTTCCTCAACATTGTTAAGAACTTTTTGAAAGAGTCAGAATATCGATCAAATGACATGACTTTAAAACATAGCGAACAGACGGTTGGAAAAGAGTCAATGAACACAGGGAAACAAAAAAAGTGGCTTAATTTTTCACCTTTCAAACTTCACCTTTCAAACTCAAAAGTAACCAATAAATCGTCTTACAGTTCTTTGAAAGACAAGAACAATTTACGATAGACAACTTTTTGAAAAAAATATCGTAATTAGAGAAAAATCGATCAATAGGTAAAGTTTGTGATTTCGCTGGGAAATCTTAAAATTTAATTTTCTTTTCGAAACTAGAAGTCGATCATGTTTTTCGTGCATTTACAATTTGGCTGTTCAACAGAGGAGTTTGCCTTTTTTAAAAAACAAATCCAAAATCATACCGCGAAAAATCACACTTAAGCGTGAACAATTTCCTGAAAAAATCATCACGACCTATATAAGAGTCTCTTCATCGACTCTTATAATGACACATCACTTGACCCATGACGTTTATTTGTGGCACACATTTGGCATGGAAAAAACACCTGAATACAAAGTTCCTCCCCGCATTATTAAGTCGGAACACAAAAAAGAATGATTTCATTACTTTTAGACATCAGATGATAATAATACAACGGACCAAGTTGAGATTCCAACTCAACACGAGGGAAGCATAGACGACCCTTACGACACTTTGGCAGATGAAGAGGCATTCAGACGGAGCCGAGCAACTCCGAGCCAGTCAGTGACGAGGAACAGAAACAGTAACAGGATTCGGAGTTTACAAAAGAACATTTTCAACAGAGACTGAAACTAAGGTCATCTTGAATCAACGCATAGAAAAAACGTTCCATCTTTTGGCAAAAAACTTAAATTATCCGTTTTATTAGAAGACAGGGTCCTACAATTAAGGAGGAAATTAAAAAAAAACAAGCAAGTTTTCTTTCAGCTTCTTTGTCACCTGTGAAAAAATGCGCAATTGAAGTGTCAGTTTAAAAACGCTCAAGCTCAGTGCACCCGAAAACTCTTCAAACATAAGTACAAAAAATAAAGAAAACTGTTATATTTTTGGTAGCTAATAATTGTGAAAACTGGTTTTCCCAGGTGCACACAATTCACAGCACATATCATGCAACTGCAAAACATTACATTACACACTATCAGACAATTTCGCTGCATCCCGATAGGACTCCGAATGCACAGTGAAGCATTCGCCCGCTCCCTCGCAGTCATTTGAGGTCAGCACAGGAGTAGTGACCTTGACGAAGTTGTTACGTCTGAAGAAGTCGTGAAAGGCGAACTCTGCGTCACTACGCAGAAGCATCATATTCTAAAAAACAAGCAATTTAAATTATCTGTCTAATATCAAAACCCCTACCTCGATACTAGACACTCAAAAACTATCATCTAATAACCACAAAAATTGATTGTCAAACGATTTACCAAAAAAGGCCACTTAGCTGAAGCTCAAGTAACTGCCAATTAAAAAGTTTAGAGATCCCGCATAGGAAAATAACAACCGAACAAGGCGAGGATGATTACCTGAAAGTAATCAGTCCTCGTCTGCAAATGCGGATACTTTCTGATCGAATCCAGGGGCATTTTGTGTGTGTTGGCCAGAGGATATGACTCATGTCTTTCGGATAATTTCTCGAGTTTATGAGTCACAAACTCCACAGTCTGTCCAGCAGCTGGACTCTCCACGAGTTGTCCTTCTAGGTTCAAAATGTCTCCTTCTTTAATATCACTCGAATGCATTCGGTCTGCAGGAATTACTACCTAAACAATAAATTTGTACAGAGGCGTAGCGGAGTTTCGCAGCACTTGCGATACAATTGAAACATTGCGTAACAAGATATTAAAAGAAAAAAAATATCTTTGGCTCGGATTGATTGCTCGGCCTGAAAAAAACATTGCGTCAAAAAACGAGCGTAAAATACAGCGAAAGAACTGTGAGTCAACCCTCATAAAGCCGGAAACGAAACTAGTCATAAAAAGTTTCAAGCAATGTTTTTTATATCAAAATTTTTAAGACCCATCTCTCCTGAAACAAGCAAAGATATTTAAAAATTCTCCCTTGAAACTACTCAACATAAGTTGAATGAGCCGATAACAGACGAACCAAACCCGATTCACCAAAAAAATCATTGAAATTGTTTCATTCAGAGTTGTTAGATTACAAGTTTTAATTATAGGTAAAGTTAATTTTCAATTATAGTTAAAGCTACGGGGCCAGCTAGTGCTAGAAGTAATCGTTTTACATTTTTTAGATTATGATTTATTGATATCGAATGAAATGCTTTAACTTCAAAAACCCAAAACCTTAGTTGTTTCTCTACTAAAATAAGTTATTTTTTGGAAGATACCAACTACCCGCTCTTACATATGAACTCAAAATCAAATTGGGTAGGGCGGTGGACTTTTCTCGGAACCTGGTCTTCTGACTGCAAAACCACTTATACCAAAAAATTTTGCGATGGTAGTATCTAAAAGTTCAAAAAGCGGTCAAAAAATCGAAAATTTGACTTTTCGGAGGGCCATAACTTAATGTGTAAATAAAGTTTATCGTATCCGCTTAACCAGGGAAGCTTTCTGACAACCGATGCTTTTGACTGAACCCAAAACCCCAGGTTTCTGAGGGTAATTTTTGAAAAAAATGAGACATTCTTAAAAATTGGGTGAAAAAGTCCTCTCACACAATTTTTCGAAGGACTTGGATTGACGCGTAATGTTGAATGAAAAAATTACAATTGAACGCGTTTCAAAAAAGCATACAAATACCCCTTCATTTTTATAATACCTGTTTTTATCAAACAGGAACTGTTCGAATGAAAAATTAAAAACCCCAAGCCTTGGAAAAAAGTGCTTGAACAGCGCATCAGATAATGTGAACAGCATTTTAAAACAAGCGGAAAATCAACCGACAGAAATTAGGACGAAAACCACAAATCCGAAAATAAATCAACTATTTCAATTCATATAATTGAAAAAATAAAGCAAAAACTGAAAAGAATGAAGAAAGTGTTATTTAAATTTTTGGATGTCATTTTTGAGCATGTCAGACGAATTGAGCATGTCAGCAGAATTTGTAAGAAAATTCGTTTACGGGAAAAGTCATGTGCAGTAGCACGTGAAAACAAATAATAATAAATTTGTTTTAAGTAGTACAATAATCCTATAATATAGAAGACTCATCACTAAAAAGGCACCAAAATGAGCAAGCGCAGAAGGCAATTCGACGTGTTAGAACGCCGCTGAGAATTTTCTATCAGGTACTATATCATCTAGTCCTGATTATTTATACGGACAAAATAGAAAATAATGGATTGAAGAAATACATATAGTTCGGACTTCAATCTAATAATTCAGTTCTTGCATCTTAATAATTAAGTTCTCGAATCTTGCTAACGTGTTTTGAAGAAAAATAAATCAGAAACCAGAACCCATGGCCGAGTCAAACAACACACATTACTTAATAGAAGCACTAGAACAGTTATCTGCTTTAAAAATGATTATCTGTCACGATATATTATCCGACAACTTTTATGTCAAGAACTTTTTGCTGACATGTTTTGAGACCGTAAAATCCAATTTTCGAACTATGCTATTCAAAAACTGGCTTTTCAGGGTATTTTTTGGGTCGTGAAAATATGACTGGTCACGACATCCTTGGGGTCGCGGGATTGTCGTTCAAAAAGCTACTTCAATGAACTGCAAATTAACATGTCAAAACAAAAATACAAGACTATCATGCATATATGAACGCCGAGGTATTTCAGAGTTTTCAATAACGCAAAATTTGAATATTTTTTTGTGCGGACATAAAGTTAAAAATTTCTCAATCAGAACAACCTGAAGGTTTTGAACTGAACTTCCATCATTGAATACAAGGAACAAATTGTTCTTCAATCCCCGTTTTCTCCTCACACACCCTTTGATTGTGAATGAGTTGCCACTACCAACAAGACCCATACTGTTGGCCAACAGAGTCTTCACTAATGTCACACGACCTTTCATATCAATCTGAAAAAAATGAACAGCTTTAGGCGTATACAATAATTTAGGTTCAATACAAGTTCGAAATTACTCACAGCCAAGGTTATTAAGTCAATGTTCATTCCGGTTCATTATACTTAAAATAGGAATCAAGCATAAGCCGTTTGTCTTCTATGACTGAGTTTTCACACGCTGTTTTTCACTTCTCACTGAAATTTCACTTCTGATAATTTCTGAAATTGGATGCCATAGGGATTTACTTTATTTAACATGTAGTTCAAACCAGCCAGTCAGCCGGTTAGTTGCCTATAACATCTCTAACTATTATTTTGTTTATTTATTTTGGTACAAGCAGCCCTTTAGAATCTTACAATATCTGCGCTGAACTCTGATGATGCAAAACTTTTCCAAAAAAATAGCATAATTTCTTAAACTGTACTAGCTCAAATATTGCAAGGACAGGAAATATGTTCTGAATACACCCCAAAAAATGATGCTAAGAAATTTGATGAATTATTCTGATTGTTTAAGTTTTCCAAAATTAGAGGATTAATCTTTTTTTGTCCTCTCTTTCTCAATCTAGAGTTCACTTAACCTTTTGAATTTCTAGGCATTATCGTCCCGATATTGATTGATTTTTCTGTTTGTGGTGCGTTGAAGGACTAAAACTATTTGAAATAACCACCGAAATATGGATCTCCCGGGAAAATCGTACTTGAAACTGCCAATTTGCAACTTGCTTGTACGTCCAGTCTTTTTCATCCAGCAACTAAGCATAAAAATGATTCTAAGCAAGTGTGGCTAAAAATACTGTGGAAAAAATTTTCAAAGAAAAACCCTAAGCGTGTACACTTTCACTTTTGCACCATGACCAAACCCTTACATCAGGAAAACAAACTTCAAACATAGTAGTACCTTAATCCTCAAACATTTCGCCCTTTTTCATAAGATGTAACCGTGAAATTTTTTAAACGTTAAAAGCATGTACACACATTTATATAAGCAAGCAACTATTAGGATAGGCAAACCACAGAATAGTTAATAAGACGACAGAAACTGGAACAAAACCTTCCACAAAAAAAAAGAAAAAAAGCTGGATCTATCAAAGTTTTACAATTTTATCAATTTAATTTCGCGAAAAACACGCATACGGGAACAACTGAATATTAATTTAGCATCGGAACAAAACTTATAAAGAGGTGTTTAGAAAACTTGAGCAGACAACCGTTCAGTCAAAAAAAATACAGAGAGGCGAAGCGGAGCTTTAGGCTACAGAAGCAGCAATAGGCGACAAAAAATTAAGTGAACAAAATTTAGAAGTCGGCAAATACGCTGAAAAAACTTGGGTACACAACAATTGAGCCAAAAACATCATTGCCATAATTTTATATTGCACATCCCCCAGCACTCAAAAACGAAAAGAAAACTATAAAAACACAGTTGGTTTACAACAAACACTAACAAAAGTTTGGAACAGAATGGGAACATAGACGGCATACATGCTCAAATTAATCCGTTGATATGCCAACAGATATGCCTCCTATTGGCCCAAATGATTCTTTGATTTTATTTAACGAATTTTCTGAAAAAAAATCTCGTATCGATTTGATAACGCTTGTTGATCATAAGGGTTAAAAGTTTAAAACTCAAAAAATATATATATCAATAAACTTCATCAAAAAACACATAAAATTTTTCACAAATCAGACAAGTCGTTCATTCAAAGCTTTTTTTTCAGCCAATTGCATTTTCGGTGAATGACAAGGAGAGGAGTCTGATCCAGACAGTGAACTTAATAGGCCATTATGAAGGACTGAAAAGCAGACAAGTAGAAACAAGACACACAATTCAAAGAACATGATTAGTCGAATGATGAATGACTATTTATTATAGCAGTTAGCCTTATCTTCGTTCGATTTGAGGTCAAGCAAGTAGTGAAATAATAAACCGTTTCGCGCCGAAATATCTTCAATTTGTTTATTTAGCTTGTTATTAAAATTTGATTTCCATTCGGCAAAAAGTGAGCCTAAAAAGAAACAAGACTGCTCGTATCAGGTCAAAGCAATGAACGTTCGGACTGCCTTATAAGTTCAATGAGGCAGCGTTCGCTTTATAACAATTGATGAATTATTTTTAAAAATGAATTTTTTAAATTAATTTGACGTTTTTTTTTTAAATCAAACCATATAAAGTACAAAGTATAAAGTACAAACCATATAAAGTACAATACTTTTCAGATATCAAAAAAATCTTCAGAAACGGTTAGTTAAAAAAGCGAAATTTGTCTGAAGAAAAAACCACCCCGAGCTCAAATATTCCGTCATTTCCTTGGAAAGTCTAATCTCAATAAATAGCAAATCACTTTCTTCGTAGACATGTGATATATAAAAACTAATCGTAGTATCGAATTCAAACTGTTTTGTTCAAATACACTTATTATACAAAAATCTAATATCTGTAAAAAAAAAGTTAAGTAATTTTCTACTTTTGTACTACGGGCTTGTCGACATGCTGTCTGATCGTGATGAAAAAAAAATGCTAACAAAATAATTTGACGATAATCATACGTAATATTTACAATGCAAGGATCGATTAAACGAATCTATTATAACATTGATTTTACCCTATCTCAAATTCAACTTATGGTGCAAGTAAACTAAACTAAACAAAACTACAGTAAGCTAAAGGCGAATAGCACATCCTTCGTTCTCCAATTTGAGCAATGTATTCCAGACAGTCAAATTGGAACATTCGTGAATTATTTTATCATTCACTCGGAAATAGTCCGGGGTTATCCTGTCAGGCTCGGGAATTTGGTCCAAATCGTAGAAATTATTGTTGCTTCGCATATCAAAAACCACGATTTTTGGATCAATCATTGTTGAATCTAGCCCTTGGAATAATTCGATCAAACTTTTCTCGATCTTCCTTTTCAGAGACCTGCTCATGAGGTCTTCGTCCAAGCGACCTTCGATAACCAGATTTTCGACTGCACAAGTCATGTTGTCACTTCTCGGTTTGAAAAATTTCGACAAGTATATTAGTTGAGTTTCAACCTGCTCATTCGTCATCCATTTTATACTGAGAGTCTGCATATTTTTCATTTCGTATAAGAAATCAAAACTCGCCAGAGGAAACTCGACCAACTGAAGGTGGTTCAGCTGTTGAAAATCCCATTTAAGCGACGGGTCAGAAGGCAGAGTCACTTTTGGGTGTTTCAGTTCGTTCGAGCCGGTTACCGAAAGGGACTCCAGTTTCGGACAGCTTTTCAAAATATTGTTCAAACTCGTTACCGAGTCGATTCGGAGCGAAAGCCGACGCAGATGTTCGTTTTTTGGAACCTGGTCTCGTAAGAAATACTCTTCATACCAGGAGGAAAGTTCCAGAAGTGTTACATCATTCATCCGCGAGAACATTTCCAGTTTTCGGTCCGATCCATAGTAAGTTGAAAAAGATCCACCTGATGTTTTGACCGACTGCAAACCAGGGCAAACTCGAGACATTGCATCGGCGAAGTTACTTTCAAGAACGAAACCTTCAGATTTGAAATACTTTATTCCGGTTTTCAATTCTTCTGTCGATTCGTCTAGTTGAATTGTGCACTTGAAGTTGTTTAGAAACCTACCGTTCCCATTAGACAAGACCACACATAGACCTGCCAAGTTTGGAAATGATTGAAGAACTGCCGTCAAATTCAGATCCTGGTTGGTTCCGATGTTCTTAAGACTTTCTGAGACGTTTCTGGCATCAATGACGATCGAAAGACGATGGATTTCAGATACATTCCAAGTCCAGGCAGCTTTCAGTTTTTCAAATGGCGTCAGCGAGAAGTTCAAATTCACATCGGCAGGAAGAACATATTTCAAAGTGAGCTCGGAAAGCTTCCAGAGATCATTCGTTTCAATTTGGTCGAGGAAACCTTTCACTTGTTCCCATCCGAACGGCACCTCGTCAAAGTTTTCTGGATCTGCTTCAATGGTCAGTGGAATTTTCCATCTACAAGCCAGACGAGGAAGTGTCCGAGAAACTTCTTTTCTGGTTTCTGCGAATGCAAAAACATCTCTCGTATCGATCAGTGAAAATACATTTTGGAGCAAATGCGTCGGCAAATCGTGAATCGGAGCTAGCATTTTTCTGAGTTTGAAAATTAACTATCGCAGTACTGACTTGAAAAATGACTGTTGTAATTGTCGTCTTCAAACAATTATTTATAACTTGCGGTCAAAAAGAAAATTGACAAGCTGATTTACTTAAACTTTTAATCGTCAAATTATATTAGAGTCACAGATGTCTGTTGTCTTTCAGTCCTTTGATTGTGTTAATAAAACGATATGAAACTTGGATAAAAATTCGCAAATAAATGAAAAATTATCCGAGACTGCCGCGAAGATTTTGTTCACGGTGCAATTCCGAATAAATTCACGAGCAGTCACTTCGTAAAAATATTCACGCCGTTAATGCAGATATGATATTTTGTTCACGTTCTTACAAGCTGACTGGAATTAAAATGTCTAAACAAGGATCAATATGACCCCTAAATAATTAAATACCAGAAATAAAAGTGCTAAAAATCTAAATAAAGCACGAATATTTTCACATTTCAGCTAGCAGCACGGCAACAGGCGTGCGTTTTTATTGAAAAAAAAATATCACAGGTAAAAAGCAACTTGTTGCTGATATCTGGTTTAAATACCATATCTGATTATAATACCAGATAAAAGCCACTCACTGAAGAGAACATGCGGACTTCTTAGTACTAGTGCTATTCTCCAAAATACATACAGCTAGTTGCGCGGTGAAAACAGGGATAGAAATAGAGTGAAATTTATGGACATTTAAGAAATGAACTAATATGAGCAAACGAATTGATCTTCAAACGCAAGAGTAACATTGTGTAGTACATTTCCTTCAGCGGACATAATGTGGGCATTTCACAATTCAGGTGACGCTGAATAAAATTTTCCTTACTATTCTCTTTTTCATCGATCAAAAAATCCCCATCAATGATTCCTTGCAACTAATCTTTACTGTTCGTCCGGTGAATCAAACACAGGCGAAACTGGTGCACATACTGGTTTTTCGGATACTGTTTTTTTTACACTTAAATAACGCTTAAACCTAACATATAAATTCCCAGTAGAATTAACGAATTCGATTGGTGGATACAAATCTGAATTACATGCACCGTTGTTCTAATCGACGAAATAATTTAAGTTTTCCCGCTAAGTACCAACCATAAAAAAGTGCACTATGAATATACTAACAAGAACTATTTAACTGATACATGAAATTGCATTTTTAAATTTCCTTGCTATTAGCGTTTAACAATACCCGTTTTATAGCATCTGAAACATGATTTTCGAAGAAATATCATCAAAAACAGTTACCTTATATCTATTCTGAAAATTCATATCCTTCAAGTCTCCTGAAAACCTTCGTATTCCATCTCTTTACATTCGTGTTCTTTCTTTCTCACCCATTTTTTGCATTGAGCAAAAACATAGTAGATCCACAGTCCCACCACTCCAAACTTTATTTAGCCAGAAATTGAAATCTTAGCCTTTCTGTTTGGCTGATCAAGAAGGTCTAGGTTATTTTTGTATAGGGAACCAGCCTCAGTTGATGCATCGTGAACTCATTAGTGGCGTCCTTTTGACTCAAATTATTATTTAGCTTCGAAGTCCAAATTTCATCTTCGCCGACTTCTGAATGAGTCTCTCTTTCGCCCCCCAATATCTCGAGAAAAAACGTCAAGCTCCAGCATACTGAATTCTCCAACATTCTTCTTCAATCTGAAATAAAAATACCAAGACTGAAAGAAAATAGAATACATTTTTCAACAATTCTTTTAACCTCGAAGACCCTTACAGGCATTGAAGCTTTGAATCAGCAAAAGTAATTGTGTTCATAATTAAATTGAAACAAAGCACTTTAATTGCAACAGGTTCATAAGGAAATTATGACAATAAATTTATCTAAAGTGCAATTCAAGTCACATGTCATATTCATCTACCTCATTTCACAATAATCAGCATCTCACTCAAACCCCATTCCATCAAAAATTTTCCGCTACATCATCCAAAAATCTATTTCGAGGACCCCGCGGCATCTTTCTTTTCTTTCTCTTCCGCGTCTCGTTTCGCTTCGTAAACTTTAATTAGTTGATCCACTTCGGATTTTGGCAACACTTTTGATACAATATTTCCCTCCTCGTCCTTGGTCAGCTGGGCTAACTCCATCTTGTCTGAGGTGAGTTGGGCCAGGTCCAGAGTTTTGCTGAATATCTTGACTGCCAGCTGTTTGGCATCTGCTAATGTCATCTCGCCTTCTTTGTAATCCTGCTTCATAATTGAGATGGCACTGAAACAAAAAAAATACATATCTAATTTGCTAGTACCGCTAGAATTTAATCGAAACTGTGACGGTTCAAACAATTCAATCATTGCTTCACTTTCAACTAGAATTTTCCAACATTCCAGAGTACTTCAACATTTTTCCAACATTCCAGACTACTTTTCCAGTATTTTTAAGCGTGTACCTCTGTGAGTTATTTCCGATGCAAGTCGCTTTCCAGCCTCCATAATTGCCACTGGGGTCGCTCTGGTACAACTGGTATCCGAGGTGTTTGTCCCATCCCATGTACAGAATGGACACTCCGAAGGGACGCTTGCCTCCAAACTGGGTGAAGGCCTGCTTCACGTCACACATGGGCTTGATCAACTGTTCCACCGGCACTGGCTCCTGGAACTGAAGCTGATACCTGTCAATGCAAAATAACGTCAAATCAGACCAAAAAACATCGGCCTTTTTTGTCGTCGTTTTTGAAAAATTTTGCACAGCAGAAATGCCGTTTTTGACCATTTTTAAAAAGTTTCAGAGTCGATCGGCCAAAAATGGGTACCGTGAAATAAAGCTTGTATTGCATTTTTGGAGCTGACGCTTCACAATTACAAACTCTCATGAATATGAAGCATCAGTATGAAATTTGCTTAAAAATGAACATAAGCTACCCAAAAATGTTTTTTTTTTGTTTCCTTGATAACAAGTAAGATGATTTAAAGAGTAACAGTATATTTATGATAACAACTAAGCAATGACCTTTGAGCAATTAGTCTCAGCTCTGTCAAAAGAACATTTGCGTCTGATGTCAGCCCAGCGAAGGAGCAGATGAGATGATCACTAATTCTATAAATCTTCTCGCTGTTGAACAGATTGTCCAGGAGAGGGTTTGTGTTTCTGTTCTCACAGGCCAAAATGATTCCGTCATTAGCTAGGATTCCCAGACAGGTTCCCGAGTGGTTCACTGTCTCTATCGCATACTCCACTTGGTACAGACGACCCTCAGGTGAGAAAATGGTGGTGCGTGAGTCATACCTACGTGCCATACTGCAACCAAGGATCTGAAGTTATACAATCAACATTCTAATTTAAAATGTCTCCACACTTAAATCATTCAGACTATCCCGTCAGGAAAGCCTTGCACGAATTGTCTATTAGATGCAGCATATAATTGTCATCATCCAACTTCTCCCTCAAGCGAAAAAAAAAACAGTTTTTTTTCACAAAATGTCCACGTAGACAGTAATGAACGACGCAATATCCATCACCACGATAAATGATTTCGCTTAGAAAATGAGGGTTGTTTCTGAAAAAAAACAACCGGTAGCGAATTTAAAGCATGTGGCGCTGATATCAACCGTTTAATTTCATTTCAATGCCCAGAAAAACAAACTCATTAAGAGGCAAACTTTTTGGCTTAGCTATTAAATTGAATTGAATTAAATTGAATTGAATCTTGTATTTAAGTTCAAGAAATAACAAACTACAACTTAAAAAAACTACTGAGCCTGAAACAACACGTTAATTAGTCTATTGACACCACATTTCGATAGTTACAAATAATTACTAAACTACAAAATTATGATACTCAAATCATATGTAATTTTTCTATACAAAATTAAAATCAAGTATCCTCACCGTTTTGCAGAAAACTTTATTTATCGTTTAGCCTTGATCAGTACATTTATTGCCATATCTTCAAGTTCTAATGCATCAGATTACGAGAGAACTTCTGATTGAAACCGATTTCTATTTCAGTTGAAACTGCAAAACTTGCTTTTCAATTTTTTCCAATAATTTTTTTATCCTTTAGGTTAAATAGCAGCGAAACCTAAAAATCATTACATGCTGGCCTGGCCGTTCACGAGATGTTGAAATTTCATTGCTAACGAAAAAAAAGGATTTTACCGAAATTGCTGAAACGCAAAAATTACTCTTTATAAGCGAGCTGAAAACTACCAGATTTCTTTCTTTATAATTTCAATCAAATCGAAATCGAAAACGGAATGCAGATATATCTGAAAACGTCGCTTCAAAGCGAAAGACACGGTCGGTTGGGGTTGATGGTCGGGCCGAAATTCGTTCTCTGACTGAGTTTGCTAAGGGCCGCCCCCATCATGACGCTATAATCATTTGATGGCCTCAATCGGGAAAAATGGGCCATCTTTCGACACTTTGTTGCTGTAGAACTTGAGGACAACAACCGTCGAGTAAGTTGAGAGGGTCTGATTTAAAGTTTGACTTTATTAATTAAGATTCATTATGATGTATTTGCAGGGCTTGCAAAATAGACTGGTTTATGCAGGCCGTACTTTGCGAAATTTCAATGAGCTGACTTCTCATTTTGGTCCATTGGAAGACTCATATGGGTCTCCTTACAAAAGATGCAATGGTAGTCCGTAATTTCCTCAACATCCGGGCTCTTGTAAAAGCTCCGGTTTCCAAGCAGGCGTTCGTGTACCTTATGGTCACCGAAGGTGAAAACTTTGCTCGTTTTCCCACCGATTATGACAAAACTCTTGTCAGTCTGATAATCCTCTATATCTGTGGAAGTGAAATCTGTTTTTTTTTGTGCAACCCGGGAGACTTGGCAGACGACTGGAGGCCCACTACGTATCAACTGGTTCCCTAATGGAGTGTCTATTAGAGCTGAGGTTAAATCTCACGTGGCTGACTGTTGCGATCATCCTTCTGCCTGTAGGAATTGAGAGGTGGAAGACAACCAAAGGGGCTCCTCAATTTAAAGACTAGGGTCGATGATTTAGAAGTTGATGTGTATAAACAGGTGATTATAGTTGTATCACAATTTTATTTGACCGACAAAATTGTTTCGCTCACTCATTATTTGTTTTTCTTCATATGTCTTGGGCGCATTGTAATGAGAGCTTGGTTGTATATATAAGCTGCCGTACTTAAGTCCGTAATTGTTTTCTTACTTGTCGCTTCAAGTGAGGTTGTGACCTCCTATTTAGTCGACTTTGTACACGTTCCCTATAAGGGCTATGAAGGTGATCCGCGTTGGAATTTTGGATTTTGTTTCGTTTTGCGTTTGCGGGTACAACAAATCTGTTACCCCTGATCTTAATACAAGGGGGTTTCGGGCATTTTTTGAGATTTCAGTAAAGTTGACATCTCCTGGTGAGCAGACTTCGTATGCGTGCTCTCTGAGGGTTAAGGGGGTTATTAGCGTTTGAACTTTTGGATATTGTTCCGATTTGCAGTTGCGGTTAAAGAAATTGTCTTATCGCTGGTCTAAATACAAGGACAGTTTTCCTACAGCTTTTTTATGCTTCCACATTTTTTGAAATCGGGTTGGATTTCTGGATAAGCTAAGGCGGTTCTCGTGGATGATTTCATGCGACTGTTTTCAATATGAGCACTAATAAAACTTAAGTTAGGCATCGACAGTTTGAAAATTTTAGTTTAACTAGCTGTTTTTTTTTTTAATTTCTAATCCACGGTACTTGTGACGTGTAGAGACAAATATCGGAACAAAAAAAATATCACACACTGATGAAATCTTTCACTGGCTGTAGTCAGTCACCGGCTTTGTTAACGTGCCCGTTTTTTGCTGATTGAGCAAATTACTGTCGTGATCTTTAATTCAACATTGTGTGCGTGAGTGGAAGTCGTCTTGTGATGGGTGTCGTAGACACTCACTTCCCTGACTTCAGCTCTTCGAAGGATGATAACATCACCCTTTGTAAGTAACTATAAAATATACCGAATGTGGCTATTGTCAATTTGTTGTATTCTAGATAATGAGTTGTTTGGAACGATATATTCAGATGTTGCGGTTAGGCGTCTATCTTCAACTCGGGATGCATTTCGTGATGTTCCACTTCTTTAGAGTTTGAGAGGAACCATGATCATAGCCAACGTTGATTGCTGTCAACTCCCGAATATATCTGGATGTAACATTTTTGAAGCCTGTAGTTTCCTTTTCACATTCAATTTTCATTTCTACGACATTTTAGTAGAATGGTGGATCCAATAGGACAAAGGTCGTTGACATTGCTTGAAAAGCGGCCAATACATCCTCCTGATGATAATCCTGAGATCGTAGCAATAATTTCAAACAACTGTAATTTTGTTGATAATTGGACGCAAAATCATTTATGAACAGTTACAGGGATTTCGTAGTGATTGCGAGCAAGACGAATTTTCTAACTTCACTGGATACTTAATGAGAATTTATTAGTCGTAGCAGTTTCATTGTATTATATTTTTTCGTTGGCTTGCACTTTTAACAGACGATGAGAATATTGTTGATAATAAATCTAAAAATTATTTTTTGTTTTAAACGGTGCGTTCGATGGTGTTATTACGTTCGACGCCTAGGAAGTCAACCATTGTTTCGCACGGTTAAACTAAACAATGTGAGTAATAAAATTAGTCAACAAATCTGGAATACAGATCAAAAGTGCAGTTTGGGTTGGGCTATTTTCAAAAGTTTGCAATTTAAAGTACCCTTACTGGTTGTCTGGATTGTTTTTATGATCGCGAGCGATGATCGTAAAAATGTCGCAAAAGGTTTCACCTCAGCAAAGGTCAATCATTTCAGCATTTTGATGAAATGAAAATGCAAAAAACCAAGTGCTGGAATCATAAAACTAAGAAACTTATTCTAACTTATTCATGCAGAACTATATAAATCAGGCAAAGTGTGAAACAAACTGTTGATTTGAAAAATTTGGCATGATTTGTTTTTTTTTCACAAAGTGACAAAAGACAAAAAACCATTTTTTCAAAGACTCAAAATTGGACCTTTATAGAAGACATGGCGTATTTCCCATCCCATATGTTGGTGAAAGGTTGCCAAGACAAGTTACCACGTTTTAATGAACTAACTTTTACCCAACTCGGCGACCTAAATACGCCTAAGCCGAGAAGATACTACATTCAAGGAATTGTGCTACACAGCAGCAAGGGCAATCAAAAATTCCGAACCTGGCATCCGAACAAAAAGACGGGCGGGGGAACGATGATTGAAATACCGTCTTGCTATCGTTTTGTTATTTTCGGTGTACCGGGTCAATTGGACGTGATTTTGTTATTTAGCACAACCACATTCAAGTCGAAGACCACCCTGCGCTTCTCCAATTTGATACGACCAGGATGCGAAGTTGCAATTGTCAATCGTCAGGTGCGATCCTTTCTGGGCGACAACATTGTTGTTTCTATTTCTTATCCAATAGTTCCCGTAGTTATTCCTTTGGATCCTCGAGCAGTGCTGCCCCCAGCAAATCTGGAGAAGCCGCATTATGCCTACTTCAACATCATCACGCACAGCCTGCGTCTGATTTTTTGTGTACCACTTGATTAGGTTTGCTCTGGAACTTTTTGTGATTCGCAAACTGGAATCAGCTCATGTGCAAGTCTGCTATCGGACTCGAAAAAATATTGGTGTCTCCGGCTAACGATGACATGCGATGAGATTCAGGATATGGCTAAGGAAGTCGTAGACTTCGTTTCAACTTAGACAACGACAGACTTCGTATTCCACGAAACGATGATTGTAACGTTGAGCCATCCGGGTCTGAACGCCCTAGACATCAAAGATAGAGTAAGCTTTAGAATTTGAGAAATTTCAGCTTGCTTTTATTTTTGTTTCCAGACTTAACATTTTTGATACAACAAAAAGTTGAAGCGAGAAAAACTTGGTCTTACGAGAAAAAGATTTCAAGATTGAACTCCAGGTTGAACTATTTGTCTTTTCTTCTAGGTTGAAGAAATTGTTGAAAATGTCCACAGAATGCAAGGATTCCGAATTCTCGGCTGGCTAAAACCCGCAACCATGAAGATGGGGCTACTTCATTGGTGTTCTCCTTTCACATATCTCTCCTTAGACCTGACGGGCCGATGTTAAGGCAGCAAAAAGAGGTAAGTTCTAACATGAACAAAATGGTATTGACAAAATGGTATGAAAAAAATGGTATATATTGATCGAGAACCAAAAAGTTAGAGCTATCATGTATCAAAATCGTCTCAACGATGTAACCCTGATATCAAGGGACAAACAATCAATACTCGATTCCGTGAGCTTTGCGGAATGAGGGGACAATCTTTATCTTGAAGCAAACTTAGAATAAAAGAAATAAATTGCGAAATAAACTAACTACTAAAAATGATCAAAAAGTTTCATTCGAGACTGATTTATTTCAACAATCAGAGACGAAGCGATTTCTCTAAAAATGCCTCCTACCAAAATGGTCAATTAGGAAATAACCAAAACAAAATTTTTGAACAATTCAATTCATCCCAAATTCTAATCGAAGTAATTATGGCATCCGCTATAACAACAAGTATAAGAGAATCCCATTGTCGAAGAGATAATGCACAAACCGCATTCCATTTTATTCACCAAAGATCTGATACTTTTGCTGAGCACCAAAATTGAACAAATACGAGAAACTGAGCAAGTTGCTGAACAACGCTACGACCGAGAAAATTGGCAATCAAATAGTGATATTAGTTCGACAATTTAACCAAGAAGGTTATAATAATCGTAACAAGTAGATACCCAAACAGATCTCGCTCACCCCATTTCAGGCCTTATCAAACCCAATTCTAAAAAAGGAACTTGGTATAGGATGAATTCAATTAATATGATTCGATCACCAATTCTTTCAATTAAATTATTAAAAGCTCCGAAACCGAGTGAGGACAGCACTCTCAAATCAAGGATTTACCTCAATTTGTATCATTTTGCAACAGGAGACTAACTCAACCAAGTCACAGATGGATGCAATCATGATACAGATGGATGCAAAATACTCATCAAATCACAAAGGGTGGATTACGGGAGAAGGAAACACTAACTTTTTAAGAGTGGACTGTTGCCATCTATTCATAGTATATCCATTTTGCTATTCCAGCTGATGAACTTAAATCCAAAAAAGATGTCATTTCAAATGGCTCAATAAGCAAAATTAAGAATGCGCCTATGTTACCAACATTTTTGCTGTTCAGCGCAAATACGGTCTGTACTCAGCAAATATTTGATCTTCATGACCTTCAACACCGGTTACCGCAAATCCTACCACTAACTTATTTTTGGGACTAGATGATCTTATTGATTTTCAATGACAATCAGCAGGTGGTTTTGCTCAATATGAGTACAGTCCACTATATCGTTTAACAACAATCAGATTGAAAAAAGCTATAATTAAAGGTGAGAACTTCAAGCGCATTCAATTAATTACTAAGAAAAACCAGATACGTTATAAGACCGAGCAATCATTCCTGTTCCTTTTACTAAACTACGACCATTTTCTCGCGGTCACATTTTTGCTAACGCCCTTTTACATTCAGCAGAATATAATATTTTACAAGCTCGGGGAGCAGAATAGGTTGAAGATAAATTTCAGTTTACGCGATTACTTAAGCTATCAATAATATACAATTCAACTTGAATGGTTTCACATTTATTATCACTCCGCGCTCAAAAATATCAGCAAACTCGCTCACGGGCCTCTCAAGAATATCACAAAGAGCATATTTTTTCATTCCCAGGAGAGAAGAAAGAGCTACGTTGCATTGGGCAGAGGCGCCAAACTGTTCGGAAAGTTTCAACACGTATGCATTGGGCATCTCATACGCACATTGAAAACTCTCAATTCTAATCGCTTTCGAAAACAATTTGATTAACGCTTCTTCACTTGTCACCTCGGTCATTTGTGGCGACAATTTCGGAATAGAAACAACAAAATCGTCCGTATTCAAGTTGAAATCATTAGCACATTTCTGGACATCAGCTGTTGGGAATGTTCCTACGTACGGCATTAAAGCATACTTTATTGAATGATTGCCCATATCACAATTATCATCGGGCGCCTTAGGGGCGCGTAGCAACGAAAGATCCAACTTTGAATCCAGGGTCTTTCTTCTTGACATTATATGCTACTTTATTGTTTCAGTTGAGCTGAAACGGAATGCAGATATAACTGATGACGTCGCTTCAAAGCGAAAGACACGGTCGGTTGGGGTTGATGTTCGGGCCGATATTCGTTCTCTGGCTGAGCGTGCTCAGGGCCGCCCCCCATCATGACGCTAGAATCATTTGATGGCCTCAATCGGGAGCAATGGGCCATCCTTGGACACTTTGTTGCTGTAAACTTGAGGAAAACAACCGACGAATAAGTGTAATGGTTGTATTTGTGTATTTGTAGATTTGTTGTATTCTAGATAATGAGTTGTTTAAAACGATATATTCAGATATTGCGGTTAGGCGTCTTCAACTCGGGATAAGTTTCATGATTTTCCCGTTCTTCAGAGTTTGAGCAAACATAGTTTCAGCTTTAGATTGAGCAAATAAATAATTTTCTCTAACTCAGAGTTTTGGTATTTCGTAAATTTACGTTAATTCCCATCGATTTGAAAACTTCTATCTCTGATCTGATCTATCTCCCTTCGATCTGATCTTAATACAAGGGGTTTCGGGCATTTTTTGAGATTTCAGTAAAGTTGACATCTCCTAGTGAGCAGACTTCGTATGCGTGCTCTCTGAGGGTTAAGGGGGTTATTAGCGTTTGAATTTTTGGATATTGTTCCGATTTGCAGTTGCGGTTAAAAAAATTGTCTTATCGCTGGTCTAAATACAAGGACAGTTTTCCTACAGCTTTTTAATGCTTCCACATTTTTTTGAAATCGGGTTGGATTTCTGGATAAGCTAAGGCGGTTCTCGTGGATAATTTCATGCGACTGTTTTCAATATGAGCACTCATAAAACTTAAGTTAGGCATCGACAGTTTGAAAGTTTTAGTTTAACTAGCTGTTTTTTTTTTCATTTCTGATCCACGTTACTTGTGACGTGTAGAGGCAAATACCGGAAAAAAATAGTATCACACACTGATGTAATCATTCACTGGCTGTAGGCAGTCACCGGCTTTGTTAACGTGTCCGTTTTTTGCTGTTGGAGCAAATTACTGCCGTGATCTTTAATTCAACATTGTGTGCGTGAGTGGAAGTCGTCTTGTGATGGGTGTCGTAGACACTCACTTCCCTGACTTCACCTCTTCGAAGGATGATAACGTCACCCTTTGAAAGTAACTATAAAATATACCGAATGTGGCTAGTATCAATTTGTTGTATTCTAGATAATGAGTTGTTTGGAACGATCTATTCAGATGTTGAGGTTAGGCGTCTATCTTCAACTCTTGATGCATTTCGTGATGTTCCTCTTCTTTAGAGTTTGACAGGAATCAAGATTATAGCCAACGTTGATTGCTGTCAAATCCCGAATAAATCTGGATGTAACATTTTGAAGCCTGTTTCCTTTTCACATTCAATTTTCATTTCTACGACATTTTAGTAGAATGGTGGATCCAATAGGACAAAGGTCGTTGACATTGCTTGAAAAGCGGCCAATACATCCTCCTGATGATAATCCTGAGATCGTAGCAATAATTTCAAACAACTGTAATTTTGTTGATAATTGGACGCAAAATCATTTATGAACAGTTACAGGGATTTCGTAGTGATTGCGAGCAAGACAAATTTTCTAATTTCACTGGATACTTAATGAGAATTTACTAGTCGTAGCAGTTTCATTGTTTTATATTTTTCCACTGGCTTGCACTTTTAACAGACGATGAGAATATTGTTGATAATAAATCTAAAAATTATTTTTTGTTTTAAACGGTGCGTTCGATGGTGTTATTACGTTCGACGCCTAGGAAGTCAACCATTGTTTCGCACGGTTAAACTAAACAATGTGAGTAATAAAATTAGTCAACAAATCTGGAATACAGATCAAAAGTGCAGTTTGGGTTGGGCTATTTTCAAAAGTTTGCAATTTAAAGTACCCTTACTGGTTGTCTGGATTGTTTTTATGATCGCGAGCGATGATCGTAAAAATGTCGCAAAAGGTTTCACCTCAGCAAAGGTCAATCATTTCAGAACTTAGATGAAATGAAAATGCGAAAAACCAAGTGCTGGAATCATAAATTTAAGATAACATTAATTTTATGTAAATTTGTTGCTAACTTTTTCATGCAGAACTATATAAATTAGGCAAAGTGTGAAACAAATTGTTGATTTGAAAAATTTGGCATGATTTGTTTTTTTTTTCACAAAGTGACCAAAGACAGAAAACCATTTTTTCAAAGACTCAAAATTGGACGTTTATAGAGAACATGGCGAATTTCCCATCCCATATGTTGGTGCAAGGTTGCCAAGACATGTTACCACGTTTTAATGAACTAACGTTTACCCAACTCGGCGACCTAAATACGCCTAAGCCGAGAAGATACTACATTCGAGGAATTGTGCTACACAGCAGCAAGGACAATCAAAAAGTCCGAACCTGGCAGCCGAACAAAAAGACGGGCGGGGGAACGATGAAGGAAATACCGTCTTGCGATCGTTTTGTTATTTTCGGTGTACCGGGTCAATTGGACGTGATTTTAATATTTAGCACAACCACATCCGAGTCGACCACCACCCTGCGCTTCTCCAATTTGATACGACCAGGATGCGAAGTTGCAATTGTCAATCGTCAGGTGCGATCCTTTCTGGGCGACAACATTGTTGTTTCTATTTCTCATCCAATAGTTCCCGTAGTTATTCCTTTGGATCCTCGAGCAGTGCTGCCCCCAGCAAATCTGGAGAAGCCGCATTATGTCTACTTCATCATCAAGCACAGCCTGTGTCTGATTTCCTGTGTACCACTTGATTAGGTTTGCTCTGGAACTTTTTGTGATTCGCAAACTGGAACTAGCTCATGTGCATGTCTGCTATCGGACTCGAAAAAATATTGGTGTCTCCGGCTAACGATGACATGCGATGAGTTTCAGGAAATGGCTAAGGAATTCGTAGACTTCGTTTCAACTCAGATAACGACAGACTTCGTAGCCCACGAAACGATGATTGTAACTTTGAGCCATCCGTGTCTGAACGCCCTAGACATCAAAGATAGAGTAAGCTTTAGAATTTGAGAAATTTCAGTTTGTTTTTAATTTTTGTTTCCAGCCTACAGATTTTCGACACAACAAAAAGTTTAAGCGAGAAAAATTACGAGAAAAAAGTTTTAAGATTGAACTCCAGGTTCAACTATTTGTCTTTTCTTCTAGGTTGAAGAACTTGTTGAAAATGTCAACAGAATGCAAGGATTCCGAATTCTCCGCTGGCTAAAACCCGCAATCATGAAGATGTGGCTACTTCATTGGTGTTCTCCTTGCACATATCTCTCCTTAGACCTGACGAGCCAGTATTAAGGCATCAAAAAGAGGTTAAGTTCTAACATGAACACAATTGTATTGGCAAAATGGTATGAACAAAATGATATATATTGATCGAGAACCAAAAAATTAGCGCTATCATGTATCAAACATCGCCTCAACGATGTAATCCTGATATCAAGGGACGAACAATCAATACTCGATTCCGTGAGCTTTAGGGAATCAGTGGACAATCTTTATCTTGAAGCAAACTTAGAATAAAAGAAATAAATTGCGAAAGAAACTAACTACTAAAAATGATCGAAAAGTTTCATTCGAGACTGATTTATTTCAACAATCAAAGACGAAGCGATTTCTCTAAAAATGCCCCTTACCAAAATGGTCAATTGGGAAATAACCAAAACAAAATTTTTGAACAATTCAATTCATCAAAATTCTAATCGAAGCAATTATGGCATCCGCTATAACAAAAAGTATAAAAGAATCCCATTGTCGAAGAGATATTGCACAAACCGCATTCCATTTTAGTCACCAAAGATCTGATACTTTTGCTGAGCACCAAAATTGAACAAAAACGAGAAACTGAGCAAGTTGCTGAACAACGCTACGATCAAGAAAATTGGCAATCAAATAGTGATATTAGAGTTCGAAAATTTAACCAAGAAGGTTAAAATAATCGTAACAAGTAGATACCCAAACTTATCTCGCTCACCCCATTTCAGTCCTTATCAAACCCAATTCTAAAAAAAAGAATTTGGTATAGGGTGAATTCGATTAATATGATTCGATCACCGACTTCTTTCAATTAAAATATTAAAAGCTCCGAAACCGAGTGAGGACAGCAATCCCAAATCAAGGATTTACCTCAATTTGTATCATTTTGCAAGAGGAGACTAACTCAACCAAGTTACAGATGGATGCAATCAAGATACAGATGGATGCAAAATACTCATCAAATTTTGCTCACCCCATTTCAGGCCTTATCAAACCCAATTCTAAAAAAAAAGAATTTAGTATAGTATGAATTCGATTAATATGATTCGATCACCGACTTCTTTCAATTAAAATATTAAAAGCTCCGAAACCGAGTGAGGACAGCAATCCCAAATCAAGGATTTACCTCAATTTGTATCATTTTGCAAGAGGAGACTAACTCAACCAAGTTACAGATGGATGCAATCATGATACAGATGGATGCAAAACACTCATCAAATCACAAAGGGTGGATTACGGGAGAAGGAATCACTAACATTTTAAGAGTGGACTCTTGCCATCTATTCATAGTATATTCATTTTGCTATTCCAGCTGTTGAACTAAAATCCAAAAAAGATGTCATTTCAAATGGCTCAATAAGCAAAATTAAGATTGCGCCTACGTTACGAACAATTTTGCTGTTCACCGCAAATACGGTCTGTACTCAGCAAAAAATTATCTTCATGACCTTCAACACCGGTTACCGCAAATCCTAGCACTCACTTATTTTTGGGACTAGATGATCTTATTGATTTTCAATGAGAATCAGCAGGTGGTTTTGCTCAATATGAGTACAGTCCACTATAACGTTTAACAACAATCTGATTGAAAATAGCTATAATTAAAGGTGAGAACTTCTAGCGCACTCAATTAATTACTAAGAAAAACAAGATACGTTAAAAGACCGAGCAATCATTCCTGTTCCTTTTACTAAACTAAGACCATTTTCTCGAGGTCACATT